GGGGGGGAGTTATACATTTTTTATGAAATTTTTATTTTTTACATATTGGCATTTTCTAAGGTGTGACTTTGAACCTCCAGGTGCTTGAAGACCTTTGCTGGTCACATTTTCTGAATATCCATGGTACTTATATTTTACTATTCTAAATCGATGGTCATTATGATGTTCAGTTTTATGTAATATTGTATCAGAATTGAAGAAAATCCTATTTTGGACACTGCCGCCGTTGCTTTTAATTCTCAAACTGACAAAAGAGTAACTTAGGACTAAAATGCAGCCCGAGTTGGAAAGGTAATCTAATTGGCTTCTTTTTCTGAAAGTTATTCATTTTTTGTGAAATTTTCATTTTTCACATTTTGGCATTTTCAATGCGGGACGTAGAACTCCCATAGGCATCAAGCTGAATAGTAATAAATGTTCTAAATGTCTATGCTATTTATAGTAGATAATTTAAACTTGGTGGTAATTATACCATTAATCATTATCATTAAATATTGCACCAAAATTGATAACTCCAACCACAAATGTTATGAAAAGAAAACTTGTGTTACTCATTTTTTTTAACTTACAAGAATGATTCTTAGGATTGACATACAGCTCAAATCGGAATTTTGTGAAATTTTCATTTTTCTCATTCTGGCATTTTTTAAGTGTGAACTTGAACTCTCATGGGCCTGAAGCCTTGGATTATTACACATTTTACTTACATTGGTATTACCTGTTAAGTAATTTAAATTTGATGTTGACTTTGCATTTTGTATTATTGCTTCAGAATAGATAGTAGCCTGTTTGGTGCTCTATTTTTTTTCTTTTTGTCTGTACATTTGATGGTTTTGCTGCCTTGTTATCGTAGAGATTTCTAGGGTCCTTGGTTTAATGGATAGTTTTTGAAATATCAAAATGTCCAGATTTGGGCTTCTTATACCCATTTGATATTACACAAAACACTTTCATTTATAGAAAATTTATTATACAACATGAAGCTGCAGGTGAGATACAGCAAGACTGTCCCACCAGGGGGTGGTAATAGTCCTTCAGGTGTCAAGACAAGACCAGTTAAACATTAGATCATCTGCTAAACTATAATTCTCTGACTCTAAGTACCACAGCTACCAAGAACAACAGTAATAAATATTGTGTGAAAGTGAGATTCTATCTTTGCCGTCAAGTTCCATAGAATAATTTCATTTACGTTACAAAAAGGAGAAAACCTGTTTTTCTTTAACCTGGCCTTTAACCTGGCATTGCCAAATCTGAAGGTAGTTTACATCAAGGGCACAGCCCCTTTCACTACAAATACGTATAAATGCAGGCATCTAAGAGGAGTCTTAAAATCACAAGTTTAAAAGCTTGTATTAAAAATATAATAAAATGTGCGCTGGATTTGCTAGAGCTTTACAAAATACAATACCATAACACATAAGATTCTATTCATGAATCCAACACAACACTAAGTCTCAAGTTTCCCATTTTACTTATGGGACAGGTAAGTAACAAAATATCCATATTTGGCTAATAAAATGCAATTTAAGTGCTACAATGTTACATTCTAGACGTTTCTAGAAAGGAAAAAAAACTCAATCCTACATTACAGCACCACATAATGGACCAGTTTTGAATTTTAACTTAAAGTGTTAATTCATCTGGCTACCATGTGAAATTACCTATAAATTAGGGACTGAGGTCCTCTTGATTTCAGCATGTAATTTATTGGAAATAGATTTCCTCCATCTTAGAATTCACCACACTATTGCACATAGAGTTGCTTCAACATGTTAAGAACTTGCTAGTCTATTGGCATAATAAACTACTTTAATAATCAAACTATGTTATTTCAAATCAAAATATGGCATAAACTTTAAAATCTTTTTTCTTCAAAACTGACACTTAAAATTTATCACAATTACTGCTGAAGTCAAAGTCAGCACTGGGCCTTTTATTAGCATTTCATGGACCACTCATTTTAACACTTAAGCTGCACTATTAATTACATTTACCAGTAGAAAATGCGAGTCATCCATAGCTTAGGTCACTGAGTAACAAACATCAGACATTTATCATACAAACACTAAGCTACTCACTGCACAGGACCAATGCAGTTGGACACTTACACTTTTACTCACCATCGTACATACACAGACAAGTATACATTATATAAAAAATTTAAACAATATAGGATTTTGAAATTGAAACACTGCACAGTCCGCTGTGTTAAACCATGCTTGGTAGAATATCTTACATTCACAAGAATATGTACACCAGTGTATCACCGAGCTAGGAGCCCACGGCTATGAACTAGCATAGGTAGGAAGGACACACACTTGAAGGGCAAGTCACCATTCCTGAAACAGAATATATGTCCCCATCATCCCCCTTTATACTAATTTCTACTACTTATGTGAACACTGTCCTATACTTTGAGATGACAGTTATTTCTTGGTAATTTTTCTTGCCTATGGTGAGATTTTTATAAATAGTAGGAAATGAAATGCAATGATGTTATGATGAAATATATAATATATATGTTTATGTACACTGTACAAACAGACAGAATACTGTAGCAAATGTTCAGACTGCTGTTGTTACTGAGTTGATGCCTATTTGTTTTCTTGGCCTCTAGCTATCATTAACCCCCCCTCTACAAGTAGTATACTATAAATGCAAGACAAAGTCCTACCATTAACAATTATTTGATTAGAAAAAAAAGTTCATTGAACAAGTGATGTCAAAAACACATCACATTTCATCATTCTGGAATTCTGGAAATTTGATTCATGTCCTGAAGATTGGAATATCATTCTAAGAATCCATTCATCTCGTCTGCCTCCTGTGTCCTTGTCTTTAGGGCCCAGAGATTCTGATCTGCAGACCACTCTGCTGCATGTTTATTTTCCATATTTAGTCAGGGGTCCTGGCATATTCTAGGCAGGTATCTTTAATGCCCCAGGCTGTGACCTTGACCTTTGATCGTGCCTCTGACCTTGAATGATCTGTCTAGATAGAGAGTCCTCAGCGATCAACCCTTTTGGTAGTATTTTTTCCCTAGAACAACTCACAGACATGTTATGCCCTGTTATCCAATTTGTCCAATCTAAATTGGTTTTCTGTGTCTGGGTCTGCTGCTACCATATTTGGGTCTGACAGCATTTGAAGCCCATCAAAATCTAGTGGATCTAGCCCTACTTTAAGGGCTTCGTCAGATGGGAAAAAGTCGGAAGAGTCAAAAGTGTCTGCTGGCATGCCACCTATAGCAGTGCCTATATCCCTGGCAAAATCCTGGCGAGACAGACTTTCATCAGCACCTGAAGATTATTTAAAGACAAGACATACTTGAAGGCATGACAGAAAATTGCAAAAGTATTACTTTTGTGAAAAGACATTATTTCTTGTTGTATCTACAGGGTGACTCCCCCTCCCACAAAAAAAAAAAATAAAAAAAAAAATAAAAAATAAAAATCCTACAAAAGTCTACCAAATTTCACAAAATTTGTTGAACTTTTAACTGCAATATGTGCATAATCAGTTTTCTTGCATAAAAGTTATGTTCTTTTTAAAAATATAACCCAAATGGCTTCTGAAGCATTGGATGTACACATGCAAACGTTGCGAAAAAAAATTGTCAATTTCTCAAACACACTCCTCCTTCAGGATTTCCCTGATTTTTGCTGTGATTGCTTCTCACAGTTCAACAATCATTTGGGGGTTTAATAAAATTTTTATGGATTCTTTTTTTTGGGTCACCCTGTAGTTTGTGTTTCTAAATCATTCTGTGCAAAGAATGAATCAATTTATTATTAGAATTTCTACATGTTAAACTTTGTACGTCAAAACCCAACCTTTCTAACATGCACACACAGACATGCATCCACACTTAGACCACAGTGGAAGTAAAGAACAAGACTCAGACGTGATGTAACTCGCGTAACCACACTTCTCGCATGAATGCGTTATAACCCGCTAATGGACCCGTGGTCTAAATAAGATAGATCCCTCGTCAGCGAGGGTTATGTGACATCCACTCGTGCTTCGCACTCGTGCATGCCACATAACCCTCGCTGACTCGGGGTCTATCTATTACATACACCCACACATCGTGTATGTAAACACTGTACCTGTGAGTATGATATCTGGAATCATGTTGTTCTGCTGCCCTGTATACTGAGACTGGACCATATTCTGCACCTCTTGGTTATGTGGATTATTGTAATACCTAAATAGATATGGGACGTTTTATTACTTCTTATGGTGTTAATTTTTACGAATAAAGAACCGTTCATACAGGCCTACCATCTGATCTCTAAATAAAAGAACCTGGAAAAATAAAGTGGCTTTTATATGGTTTACCAGTAATATGCCATAAAAACTTTTTCATGGGTGTTATACTATGTTTTTGCCTGTTTTTTCTCCATGTAAAACATATCCAAAACAGTAAATTGGTTATTGTGAGCACATCTAAAATAAATTCTAATATCCTAATATGTTTACCTTTTTTCAAGAGTTGTGACGCAAAATATTAATATTTACTTATCAACTCATGAGAAACAGAGGCCTTTCTTGATAAAACATATTTCATCAGTGTGTGGTATATTGACAGACATGAGCCTAGGTTTAAAAAAAATTGAATAAAAAAAATGCGTAATTCCGCTTTGCCATGGAAAAAGTTCATGTCTGTATTGATTAAATGTCTCACCACACATAAACCAACCTGTTTTGTTGAAATTCTTGGCTACCATGAAGACCATGCATGTTTGCTTGTGAAAAATGCATGTTGTTTGACTGCTGATAGACGCCTCCATTATTCAAACTTGTGTTCATGCTGCCCACTGAAGTAGCCAGTGATGTCGGGAGATTGTCTTGAAGCTGCAATAAACCAAATACCAAATTGACTAAGTTTAAAAAGTGAAATAATAGTCTCATCAAAATAGACAATAAACTGCTCCATTTGTATGACAATTGTTTGGCTTTAAAACTATTGTATTCATAATAAAATAAGTAAATGAAAAAATATCAATTACAAAAAAATGACAGACAAAAACTACAACTTCTGTCGAACATTTCCTTGTAAGAGAAAAGGGAAACTAGCTTCAATGCTATATAGTTTTACAAGGTACAGAACTGAGTTTTTCATAGACCCTGTTCCCATAGGCACCGTCAGTCTATATACATCAACCTAAGTCTGCGGGAACGCTTGCTAAGTGCAATCAGTTTAACTGAATGACACGCCTCCTCAGTCTTCGTATAATTTCCAGCTTTTCTGAATTCTACTTAAGGCAGCGTGTTGCTCCGTTTAGCCGATGGCACTCAGCAAGAATCCCTGCTAATTTGCTCCTCACAGACCTATGTGTCTATGGGAATGGGCCACAGGAACTCAAGACCAATATCCTGTCACATTTTCAACATAATTTACATTATTTATCAGTTTGTGTGCATGTAATCATGGAACCTATCTGTTCATCACTTATATCAGTTTCTACGGAAAAAGGGAAAATTTTCCCCTTTGTAATTTTGTACAGAACAAGCGCAAAGGATATCTCTCAAACCACTGCTCCATACTACTTAATATGCACTAAAGACTGACATAGAACACAAAACAAACACCAAACATAGACATTTGATTAGTGCCCTGGTTCAACCCTACTGAGTTTTCTTAAAGCTAAATGCCAAATGCTTTCCCCCTATTAAATGTCTCAAAATGTGGAGTTATGTATACTATGTTAAGAGTCACAAACATTGCTTCTCTAATACAATCCTGAAAGTACAACATTCACCAATTAATGCCATCTAAAGAGGGTCAGAATATTCTTAGTCAACCCTACTACAGGGGAGGCTGGGCAATCATGCTGAGAAATGTCCCCGATAATCTCTAAGTTTCTCTTTTATGTTTTTTTCAAGAGTAATTTCATGCAAATTAATGTTTCACTTTCAAAAAATAATTCATATGGAGTTTCTTCTTAAATTCCTTTGAATTTCTTCACTCTTTTCTCAAANTGGAGGGCAAGTCACCATTCCTGAAACAGAATATATGTCCCCATCTTCCCCCATTATACTAATTTCTACTACTTATGTGAACACTGTCCAATACTTTGAGATGACAGTTATTTCTTGGTAATTTTTCTTGCCTATGGTGAGATTTTTATAAATAGTAGGAAATGAAATGCAATGATGTTATGATGAAATATATAATATATATGTTTATGTACACTGTACAAACAGACAGAATACTGTAGCAAATGTTCAGACTGCTGTTGTTACTGAGTTGATGCCTATTTGTTTTCTTGGCCTCTAGCTATCATTAACCCCCCCTCTACAAGTAATATACTATAAATGCAAGACAAAGTCCTACCATTAACAAGTATTTGATTAGAAAAAAAAGTTTATTGAACTGGTGATGTCAAAAACACATCACATTTCATCATTCTGGAATTCTGGAAATTTGATTCATATCCTGAAGATTGGAATATCATTCTAAGAATCCATTCATCTCGTCTGCCTCCTGTGTCCTTGTCTTTAGGGCCCAGAGATTCTGATCTGCAGACCACTCTGCTGCATGTTTATTTTCCATATTGAGTCAGGGGTCCTGGTATATTCTAGGCAGGTATCTTTAATGCCCCAGGCTGTGACCTTGACCTTTGATCGTGCCTCTGACCTTGAATGATCTGTCTAGATAGAGAGTCCTCAGCGATCAACCCTTTTGGTAGTATTTTTTCCCTAGAACAACTCACAGACATGTTATGCCCTGTTATCCAATTTGTCCAATCTAAATTGGTTTTCTGTGTCTGGGTCTGCTGCTACCATATTTGGGTCCGACAGCATTTGAAGCCCGTCAAAATCTAGTGGATCTAGCCCTACTTTAAGGGCTTCGTCAGATGGGAAAAAGTCGGAAGAGTCAAAAGTGTCTGCTGGCATGCCACCTATAGCAGTGCCTATATCCCTGGCAAAATCCTGGCGAGACAGACTTTCATCAGCACCTGAAGATTATCCAAAGACAAGGCATGTCAGAAAATTGCAAAAGTATTACTTTTTGTAAAAAAAAAAAAACATCATCTCTTGTTATATCTACAGGGTGACCCCCCCCCCCCCCAAAAAAAAAAAAAAAAACCCCACAAAGGTCCATCAAATTTTAAGAAATTTGTTTTACTTAAACTTTAATATGTGCATAATCATTCCCCAAAGTTTCAGTTTTCTTGGTCACTTTGCATAAAAGTTATGTTCTTATTAAAAATATACTCCAAATGGCTTCTGAAGCATTGGATGTACACTTGCATACATTGTGAAAAAAATTGTCAATTTCTCAAACACACTCCTCCTTCAGGATTTCCCTGATTTTTGCTGTGATTGCTTCTCACAGTTCACCAATCATTTGAGGGTTTAATAAAATTTTTATGGATTCTTTTTTTGGGTCACCCTGTAGTTTGTGTTTCTAAATCATTCTGTGCAAAGAATGAATCAATTTATTATTAGAATTTCTACATGTTAAATTTTGTACATCAAAACCCAACCTTTCTAACATGCACACACAGACATGCATCCACACTTAGACCACAGTGGAAGTAAAGAACAAGACTCAGACGTGATGTAACTCGCGTAACCACACTTCTCGCATGAATGCGTTATAACCCGCTAATGGACCCGTGGTCTAAATAAGATAGATCCCTCGTCAGCGAGGGTTATGTGACATCCACTCGTGCTTCGCACTCGTGCATGCCACATAACCCTCGCTGACTCGGGGTCTATCTATTACATACACCCACACATCGTGTATGTAAACACTCTCTGTACCTGTGAGTATGATATCTGGAATCATGTTGTTCTGCTGCCCTGTATACTGAGACTGGACCATATTCTGCACCTCTTGGTTATGTGGATTATTGTAATACCTAAATAAATATGGGACGTTTTATTACTTCTTATGGTGTTAATTTTTACAAATAAAGAACTGTTCATGCAGGCCTACCATCTGATCTCTGAATAAAAGAACCTGGAAAAATAAAGTGGCTTTTATATGGTTTACCAGTAATATGCCATAAAAACTTTTTCATGGGTGTTATACTATGTTTTTGCCTGTTTTTTCTCCATGTAAAACATATCCAAAACAGTAAATTGGTTATTGTGAGCACATCTAAAATAAATTCTAATATCCTAATATGTTTACCTTTTTTCAAGAGTTGTGATGCAAAATATTAATATTTACTTATCAACTCATGAGAAACAGAGGCCTTTCTTGATAAAACTTATTTCATCAGTGTGTGGCATATTGACAGACATGAGCCTAGGTTTAAAAAAAATTGAATAAAAAAAAATGAGTAATTCCGCTTTGCCATGGAAAAAGTTCATGTCTGTATTGATTAAATGTCTCACCACACATAAACCAACCTGTTTTGTTGAAATTCTTGGCTACCATGAAGACCATGCATGTTTGCTTGTGAAAAATGCATGTTGTTTGACTGCTGATAGATGCCTCCATTATTCAAACTTGTGTTCATGCTGCCCACTGAAGTAGCCAGTGATGTCGGGAGATTGTCTTGAAGCTGAAAGAAACCAAATACCAAATTGACTCGGTGTAAAAAGTGAAATAACTAATTTCACAGTCTCATCAAAATAGACAATAAACTGCTCCATTTGTATGATAATTGTTTGGCTTTAAAACTATTGTATTCATAATAAAATAAGTAAATGAAAAAATATCAATAACAAAAAATGACAGACAAAAACTACAACTTCTGTCGAACATTTCCTTGTAAGAGAAAATAGCTTCAATGCTATATAGTTTTACAAGGTACAGAACTGAGTTTGTCATAGACCCTGTTCCCATAGGCACCGTCAGTCTATATACATCAACCTAAGTCTGCGGGAACGCTTGCTAAGTGCAATCAGCTTAACTGAATGACACGCCTCCTCAGTCTTCGTGTAATTTCCAGCTTTTCTGAATTCTACTTAAGGCAGCGTGTTGCTCCGTTTAGCCGATGGCACTCAGCAAGAATCCCTGCTAATTTGCTCCTCACAGACCTATGTGTTTATGGGAATGGGCCACAGGAACTCAAGACCAATATCCTGTCACATTTTCAACATAATTTACATTATTTATCAGTTTGTGTGCATGTAATCATGGAACCTATCAGTTCATCACTTGTATCAGTTTCTAAGGAAAAAGGGAAAATTTTCCCCTTTGTAATTTTGTACATAATAAGCGCAAACGATATATCTCTCAAACCACTGCTCCCTACTACTTAATATGCACTAAAGACTGACATAGAACACAAAACAAACACCAAACATAGACATTTGATTAGTGTTGGTTCAACCCTACTGAGTTTTCTTAAAGCTAAATGCTGAATGCTTTCCCCCCATCAAATGTCTCAAAATGTGGAGTTATGTATACTATGTTAAGAGTCACAAACATTGCTTCTCTAATACAATCCTGAAAGTACAACATTCACCAAATAATGCCATCTAAAGAGGGTCAGAATATTCTTAGTCAACCCTACTACAGGGGAGGCTGGGCAATCATGCTGAGAAATGTCCCTGATAATCTCTAAGTTTCTCTTTTATGTTTTTTTCAAGAGTAATTTCATGCAAATTAATGTTTCACTTTCAAAAAATAATTCATATGGAGTTTCTTCTTAAATTCCTTTGAATTTCTTCACTCTTTTCTCAAACACACACACACACACACACACACACACACACACACACAAGGAAAAATCAACACCATAATTTGAATTTTGAATACATCTTGCACTGGTTTTCATTACAATCATATAGGTCTCTCAAAGGTTTATTACAGCAAGATGTGTTGGGGGTTTTAATCGTAGGCAGGCAGGAAATTACTTATGGCAAGTTCACACCAGGGCTATTTTGGAACAGTCAAGGGCTAAATGACCTCACTTGCCCATTTCCATTTCAAGTTGTTCCTGATGTGAAAATGCCTACAGGACACTATGGGAGACTGGACAGGAATAATTTGACCTTACAATACTAAAACCAAAATTTGTTTCAAAATCAAAGAAAAACGCAAGTGTTAAGTGTTGGAGAGATATGGGGGTAGACTGAAAATGAAAATAAGTAGACACCGGGGATCCTCTTATTCCTCCACCCTGCCCTACCAGACCAAAGTACATACCAAATCAAGTCCTAGCAAGCTTTCAATTGTTGCTTCTGACTGTGATTGCTGAGGTACAGAATGCGCTAGTTGAGACTGATTCTGTGCGTGTGATGGAGACCGCTAAACAACAAAGGAGAGAACACATACACACTATATTTCATAGTTTGAAGGCAAAACAGTTGTCACTAACAATTTGACACTATGTATATATATTCATATACATATTAACACATGCACACAGATGCATATGTGCTTATGTGTTGGCACTATTCGAAAATTAAACAAAGAAAATGGAAAATAAATATGTATTAAATATTCTTTGCACATTGCTAGAGGAACCATTTGCCTTGGAGATATAAAAACTGTACCAAAACAAGCATGCTGTGGACTTCATCAATGTATATGTATATATATATAAAGGGATGAAGATGAATCATGCATCAGGTGTCAAACCAACAAACTAGGGTCAACCCTTTGATCATGCAAAACAAATAAAATTATGCTTCAAATTAAAAAATAAATAAATAAATCCAGAAACCATGAAATGAAGCATAGCCAAGGACACGAGTGTAAACAAAAGTAACAATGAAATTCCATATTAAAAGACCACTTACCATGTTAAATTGTTCAAACTGGTGCTGCAGTGCATTTGTCTGCTGTTGCTGCTGCAGGTAATATGCATCCATGGTAAATGGGGAGTTACTGTTGTTGCTGTTGGTGGTGGTTGGCACCCCGGGGGACTGCGTTGGTGATAATGACTGCTGTGACAGAGGAGATGTCGGGGAGGACGGCTGACTGCCTCGGTAACCTAACTGGAAAACAAAAAATACAGACATTTTTACTGTGACTGAAATTTTTCATTTTTAAAAGGTTTTACAGCCAATTTTACTGGATTTTAAACTTTGCCTTGTAATATGCATTTATTGTCTTAATATTTAAGCTGTTTATTTTTTTTATTTCATTTCATATATCTTATTTTGTTAATTTACCTTTATAAAGTCTGCTGAAGATTTTAAATGAATTTAAGACTAACATAAAAATGTTAATATTATTATCTTCACAAGTATCAAAAGTACATCAAATATGACTTCAGAGATCAATTTTTTAATGAAAACATAAGGGCAACAGTATGTTTTTTTTAAAGAAGGCCCAATGGCCAGGATGTTCCCTCTAAATTATGTTGTGTGCAGGACAGGGTTTTGCATAAATACAAATGAGCAAAGTTGTAAAGGAACAAGTGGTAAAAAGCTTTATTTGCCACCAATTGTGTAGGTTAAAAAGATACACCATGAGGCAGCAAGCTGTATGTGAAATAAACCAGTGTCAAGCATGACTCGATGGTCGATACCTCATACACCTTATGGCGAGTGGTATACCCGATTTATATCACTGCAGATCAAAAAATGTTCACAACATCAACCTTTGTAAGAATGAAATCAAGTATTTCATATCATGAAAGAAAACGGAATCATAGGACCTCATTTTTCTGCAAATTTTGGGTCAGGAGTACATGTGGCCTTTCATTTCTCATAACCAGGGGGGGGACAAAGCATGGTGAGTGCAAACATCAATAGTACTCAACAATCACACCAGATGTCACTACCTACCTGCTGGTGGTTTACCATACGTGTTTGACTGTGATTTTGCTGACTTGATGGAAGGTGATTCTGTTGTTGTTGCTGCTGCTGCTGCTGTTGTTGTTGCTGAGACTGTTGTTGTTGCTGCTGCTGCTGCTGTTCTTGTGACTGGTGATAAAGCTGGTATGTATGGTGTAATCGTGCATCCCATGAACCCTAAACAACAACAGGCTACAGCTCAAAACACAACACTCAAGCTACAACAAAAATGACTCGGAGAACAGTTTTTTTTTTTCTTCGAGAGTTTCTTCTTCAAATGTGAAAAGAGATAAAGATGAATCATTTAAATGAAACAGATGCCTGTAGTGCAGTTTTTTTCCTCTTCTAAGTTTTTATTTCCAAGAAATTGCTTTTCACTGAATTTGATAGCTATTATATTATAAATGTTGAGACTTCTCTTAATTTAAGGTTTTTTTTCCCATGTAATTTACTTATTCAAATGGAATTTTCCTCAGATTAATAGGATCAGGGCACTCAAGAGTGCAATAAACATAATTTCTAGATTCAATTTCTCTTCAGTTTGAAAATTGCCCATGTACTGAATCTCAACACAATGGCAAAAGTCGCCTTGCAAAGAGAAGTGTGAAGCATATTAACTAGAACACCTGCACAACAGAAATGCACAATTAGCATAATAAGAACAATAATCCACTCAAGACTAACAACTAGACCAAACTGAAATCTTAAAGATGGTGATAACATGCTGACATCATCCAATCATACATGCAGCATGCAAATCTAACAGTAGGCATCCACAACATCAAGTGCTTTGGACTCGACTTGTTTTATTTTCTTGAATATTCGTCACTATAGAATTAGCATTTGTGGAAACAGGAGATGGTGAGATGGGCATTTTATTTTCTTTTTGGGGGGATGTGGGTAGGAAAAAGGGGGCTCAGTAATTAAGAGCTGGCTGATTTCCCTTGGCAGTAGCTTTGGCAGGTAAAACCTATAGTCACTTTCATTTTAATATCATCATGTTCTCACTCAAGTAAAAAAAAAAGAAAAAAAAAGGTTTTCTTACCTGTGGTGGCATGGAATGCCGCATGTGTGTGGGACTTCCCAGGATAAGCGGACTGGGTGTGTGAGTGGGACTTCTCCGCCTCTGTGCCGGGCTCTGCTGGGACGGGTGGACCATGCCCCCCATGGGGTGGACCGATGTAGGCGATAAGCTCCCCTGTTGGGAATAGTTTTGCGGTTGCTGCTGATCTTCGGCATCTAGTGGTGTAGTAAGTGGTGGTGGAAAGTGCAGGTTTGTTAGGTCTGGGAGAGAACCAGTGTTGTTGGAGAGAGGAATACTTGGCCCGCCAGGGTCCTGGTCTTGTGATGGGTATATACTGTTCGGGAGAAAAAAAATAAAAATGTGCATAAAAATTAAAATATCAATTTGCTGTTAATAGATATGGCTAAGTTTCAAGATTTACCATCTGAAACTTCACATGCAAGATGGACACCAAAAACTAAAATATAAATCTGAAAAAAAAAAAAAAAAAAAAAATTTAAATAATCTAAGTTGTATACTTGTATACAGATAATTTGAGATCAAAAGAACTCAACTGATGACTAAAGGTTTTACTTTTTACAGAAACCCTCAAACATTTTTATCAGCATCACATTGAAAACCCATCATTAGAAAATGCAACCAGACATGTATCAACAGTAGTACTTCATTGCAGTACAGGAGCAACATATGTAAGATAAATGAGACCATCACATTCTTATTTCATTAAGCTGTCATAAAAAAGCCTATCAAGTTGATCACTTGAAAAATACTTATGTATAGTCTTAATTAAACAAACCCTTTGCCTTGTGTCAAATGAAAGAGACTTTTTACATGCAATTTTATGCTTAGCAGTAAAGCTGCAGACAATGGGCAATAGCCCCGTTCCAGTGGACCTCCTCTGATGCAGCCCTTTCAGCACATTGCCACTTTAAAAGTGCAAAATCTAGGCAAAGCCAGATCAATACCTGCCTAGCAGAGCACACACATACACTTTACTATTCAAAAATAATATATATCCATACATAAATATCTTCCTAGACCTATACATGCAAAATTGTGAAATCGTGGCAAAGCAATTCATTTAACAGTGACAGTTTACTTGCTTACATAAGAAAGAAACAATAGGAATTATAACTAGTTATTCCCTTTTTGGTCATTAATTTTGTCAAACTGTTATCATCAAGTATTTTTTTCTGTGAATTTATAGATGACAATATAATTCATGTCAACAATCTATATAAATCCATATAATTACTTATATCAATCTACACATATCCAGATATCAGTAAGCATACTCAGTGGATTAGCTAGTACAGAACATAAAGGGTGTGTGTATATATTTGGAAATGAAATTCTTAAAAAGCTCCCCAGGATTTCAAAAGTACCAGGAATAACATGGGAATACATGGTAATGTTGCAACATGTGGCACACAACCCCAAATCCCATTTCTATTCAAATAAATCTGGCTAATAAACACATCACATGAGGGGTTGGGTCACCCCCATACAGTTAGTAAAGACCTGTCCTCCGCAAAATATTACTAGTTAGACGACGACATGTCAGCCACAGCATACGCACACTGCACAAAACGCTGAAGAAAAACTGGTATCAAAACAAAACAACATACCAAACAAACTTGGGAATTAATCTCTGAAAACAAGCTGAATGGTGGGTTAGAGTAGCATTAGTAAAAGGCAGCCAGTGTCACACACACACACACACACAAGCACGCATTCTTTCCGAGTCAGGTATTCATATTAGGCTACTTCATTTAGATTTAAGCTTGGCCTGTCTTAAATGGGTTAAAGAGAGCATTTAAAAAACAAAGACATTTGTTTTGAACTTAGTAAGCTACAACTGATCTATGAAACAAAAATTTGTCACAACCTTAAAGCTGCATTTGAGGTCAAAATTTTGCCACAAATCCCAACCGAATGCCATCATATAGTTTCAAAAAGTATAACTTAGAGAAATACCAAAGGGCATCATTTTATATTATCTGAAAAGTGCATTATGTAAACTTTGGTTGTTTGGGAACTCATTTAATAAGTGTGCAATTGTGCACGCAACTTCATCCATCCATGAGAGTGATGATCATGCAATGCGTGCATAGTACTACCTCATTTAGCAGAGTTTTACAAACTGGAGGGACAAAAAAGGAATGTAAGTCAATTTACAACTAAAAATTTGAAACAGCAGCTCTTTTATGGTTGATAGAGTGATTAATTGGGTTTATCGCTTGATATGTCCAAGTTATTTTAGTCCTATAAGAAACTAGTGGAAATGCATTACTGGGAATCCACATTCTCTTTGAATGTTACTCAAGTAAGGACAGCTAGGGCACATTTAAGGGGGTATGGTAGAGAACTACATTAAGTTTTAAAATATTAATTATTAGCAAAATGAATAAGAATTGTTGAAAATTTCACGACTGTTAATGAGGTGGTTTAAGAGCCCAATTCCAGGGAAGAGGGCACAACCTGGATGTAGCATGTTACCATGAAACAATCTGAGTTCTAATGTAGCTGAGGAAAGGTTTTTGAATTCTTTGAAACAGTTATCTGTATCCTTTTACTAATTAAAAAAGTAAAATGTGTATGTTTTGGACCAAATCTATGAAGCAAAGTTCTCTTGTTCAAAGTTTGGGGTACTTTTGCACAGCCTTCTTTTTCTTTTCAAATGGTCAAAAGTGACTTTATATAATGACATCAATAAAAGAGGCAATAATATTTTAAATTACGTTCTTATGCTCAGATTGGTGGAACTTCCCTGTACTGATAACTTAACTCCCTCACTCTGATAAGTGAGTCATGTTGTATGCCAACTAAAAGCATTATAGGTACTACACGGAACCTTCGACCATCAGGACCAATCACCATCTATATATAATAAATATATTGTGTTGATATTATATGGATGGTATACAGGATCTATAGACACATACAGACAGACACACACACACAAAGATGGAGGAAAAAGTTTATGAGTGAGAAAGAGAGGCAGAGAGCAAGAATACACGGTATATCATGAACTGCAAGTCAGTCATTTACCCTCTTAAATGCAATTTCCTTAAATGCCAATGGTTCCTGCAAAAAGGGAATGGGCAGGTTGCTGAGTACAAGACAAACAGGTTCCATATACAAAATATCAGCACAAAAGTAAAAAAATAAATATTTCATAAGAAAATAACCGTGCAATTTTGCAGGATCAAAAAGCTAAATGACTTCAATCAGAGGCAAAGATGTATGCAGAAAAAAATATTGGATTTATATAGCCATCGGTGTTAGACATGGATACAGAAGAGCATGACCATATGGTTTATCTAACAAGCATAACACAATAAAAACCATAAATAAAAAATATAAACAAATGGTATCAAAATAAATCATTTCAAGGAAACAAACAACATATTACATATTTTGTAGTGGCATTTATCGGTGTACTTACTTGATTCCAGGAACTTCACATGACTTAGGCCGTGACTGCGAACCAACCTGCAAAGATAATGATTGAAAATGATTAACCTTGTTTTTTTTCCCTTCAATCATGTTTAGCATCTCGATTCTCATTGACAGATTCCCTCTTGCTTCAAAGTACTGCTACAAGTCATTGGTCTCAAACAAATTCATGAACCATAAATTTTACACACCATTTCAGTTTCCTCAAAAATTCCCATTTCAAATAATACATCTCAGATTTTGTCCAATTCTACTGGGAATATAAAATTTATCTTTCGTGCAGTAGTTTCACCTACCTTTTTCGGATCCCAATAATTTTTCATAGCTGGATTCTCCACTTGCATCTCTCCTATTACTTCCACTACTGAAACAAAGGTATAATTAGACACTGGGAAGGCAAAAGGAACCTGCTTATGAAAATGTAATATAATTTTTTTAATGCCCATTTGTTCCTAAAATATGTAGGATTATTAGCAACCACCTGTAAATTTTCCCCTAATGCTTTTTTTTTTTTTGTTTTAAAACAGTCAACCCCAATGTACACCTTATATGTTTTAGTAAGAGGTGAATACATTAGTAAAAATTAAAAAATAAATCAACTTTAGATTGATTTTTTCAGGCACCAAAATTCCAAGAAGCAAAAATCAAAGTAGATATATAAACCTGTTTTTTTTTATATTTTAAGTGTAAGGTGTATGTGACAGGATATAATCAGCCCAATGTTTTAAATGAACAGCCAAAGTAACATGAGCTTCTGTGCATAAAAAATAAGCATACTGAAATGCAAATTTCACATTTCCCAGTTACTTTTTCAATCAAAAACGTCACCAATTTAGCCAAAGTAACTGATATTTTATCTTCTACTTTAAATGACAAAATGAAGAAATACTTTGAAGACATGCTTAAGTGTTATAGTGAACACACTAAAAATGTAAGTCAAGTTACTTAAAAGACACTACTACCTGACAAACATGCCATTAACCATACTGAAATAAAAATAAAAGAGATCTTCCATCTACTATTGAGTATCCACTAACATGCAATACTTGGAGTCAATATGAAATGAAAAATAGAATAGAAAAACAGAAAAGGTACCTTATGAAACAAAAAATATCCACCATAACAACAAAGTATATCCATTGAACAACTGAACTACAAAATTAATCCACTGCTGCACAGATATGAACTTTAAATAAGGGCAAAGCCCCATCCACAAGGAAAAAAGTAATACAGTTAGAGGTTGCTTCCAATGTTGAAAGGAAATGCACACCAACTTAGCATTTCAAAAAGAAAAGTCTTTATCTAAGAACCCATGCCAAAAAAGAAAAAAAAAAGGTTAAATTAAACAGTGGACTCAACACATAAAAAAAGTAATCCCAAAAGAAAAATAAGGTTAGAACGTTCAAAGCCATCTGGTGCATTTTGAGACTCTGGTAATGTAAAACCAGCCAGTGCTGAACTAGGATACAAGTCCAATAAAACAGCATGCCTTCAGTCTAATGCCAAAGGTGGAATTCCCAACACAAACTTTGTTCAATAAAGAATACATACACATCCGCACTGTGTTGGATTTACTGAAGTCAGTGGGGCTAACTTTGCACTGTTTGAACACAAATGTACAGCACAGTGGCAAGTTAGACACAGAAGTTCTAACCTTCAGCAAAACTTGTTAGAAGTACTATGCCTAAATCTCAGTTTGAGGTATTTCCGAAGCTAGTTTAAAAATGACTCTATAACCATTTTATTCATCAAATAATCCTTTCATATATGCTACCTTTTCTTTCCATTTCCTTTTTTTTTTTTTTTTTTTTGAAAATCAACCTGGACAATAATTACTTTAAAAGGCCTGATTAATTGACTTTGGCAGTTAAATAGGTAACTTATCCATTTCTGACAAAAGCATGAGATTAATGAAACTAACCTGGACCTTGTGGACAAGTGTGCCAAGAAGTTCAAGTAGGTGAATAAATAACATTTAGAGCAAAGGGCTGATGCAAAACAAAGGCTATTTGCATTGTTTTCTTTTGTATTTACAGTAAATAAATAAATAAATAAATAAATAAATAAATAAATAAATAAAAATTATGACAATAATAATAATAATAATAATAATAATAATAGCCTAATTTTCCTTTACAAAGTTTGTGTTGAGCCCACTGTACAACAATGTTCACCACTTCATTTCAACACATTTGCAATATTGAAAAATATCAACTATCATGGGTCATCAAAATTGATTCCTTTTTTTATTTATTCTTTTAATACTTTTTTCATTATTTATCTCTGACAAGTTGCATATGGTTATCGAATGTGACAAAAAATCTTTTTTTTTTTCTTAAAAGTACAAAAACCTCCATGATTTAATCAATGTCATCAAAAATAATCTAATTTATCATCCCCAGACACTCCTCGCCACCTGTCTACCATCTTGAGACAGTTTACAATAGTGCACAACTTAGAGGTCGATACCCGTTGTGATGGCAGAGTTTAAAGAACCAATACTCAAGTGTGGGTTAAAGACAATTTAATTTTACCAGATTGTTACATAGTTATGGCGAGTGTCAGAGAAGGATGTAACAAAGGTTGGTAAGCTTATACTCCCAGAAACATGTTAAGTATGAGTTTATTGCGAGTAAAATCTTAGGCTAGGCGCCTATAATTTCAGTAACCCCCGAAAAAGTAGTGAACACTGTTTTCTACTATCACCACTTATGGGCGGGCAGAGATAAAAAAAAAAAGATGTACAAGTAGTAATTCTAGCTCAGCAACAGGATCAAGCTATACCTCCAATCCCTGGACTGGTGTCTGCTTGAGGGTGGGGAAGAACAAGAAGGAAACTATTACATAGATTCTTTAAATCATCATGTTAGTAATATACCCAGAACACCATAAGAAATACAGGGCAAAAATTGTGCCAAAATTTGATGAAACAAGGTTTATTTTATTTCTTTTTTATTTATGTTTTTGTGAGCTGACATTATTGACGCTGAAACCAAAATTATTTAATATTTTCTGCATAAAAAAGTCTCTTCATTCCAACTTTCCTTGATATATTCTTCTTTCCACAACTGATACAATTTCTTGCTAAAATTCATCAAATATCCTATGCATAATACAACACTTCGACAGCTGCTATATTGTTGTTTTTCTTTTCTTCCGTTTCTTTTTCTCTACTTAGATAAGTTTTACTCCATGTGCTCTACCATACACATACAGTATGATCTACCCCGGGAAAAATTGTCAGTTGTATGAGATATCAGTACTGCACAATGCAAGTCACTTTCACACATAACCTCTTCAATCTTGCTTTATTAACATTGAATCAGTCTATTGCAAATGATACTAAACACGGTTCCAAACAAAAAGAAAGAAATAACTGGTATTGTATTTTTTGTATTCTTCATTCCACACCACTGCTGGGTACTGAGAGTGAATATCAGAGTAAAACAGGCCAGCAAAAAAGATTATAATTAAGAGCATCCTAATCATCACACTTAAAATACGACTTCCATATCTACCAAAACACAGGACTTGTCCTAAACTCTGATGGTCACGGTATTTACTCCTTACAACGACTGGGGACCAGTAACCATGCAGTTTGTAAGGCAATCTTACCGCAGAGATACTTCCTCTTGATAATAGTCACCACTGGGAAATTAACGGGGTTTTGTTTTTGTTTGATTTGGTAGAAATGGAGATCTGGTTAGCCCAGTTTATGTGCTGCCTGCTGGCATGGCAGAGAAAACTGGCTTACTTACTTCGCCTGTGCTGTGGAGGTGTGTTCGGACTGAGCTGCTCGGAAGGGGGTGCCATGGCACTTTGGTGGAGGGCAGAATCAGAGTTTGTCCTGAAAAAAATAAAATTACTTAAATAAATAATATAACAAACACCAGAATGCTTTAAATGAATCCCTTCCCTTGTTTTCATTTGGTATGTAATGGTATGCAAAACAATGACTCCTTTGCTTTGTCTATGCGTAATTATCAATAACAATAAAATCCAAAATAAAAATTGAGAATAATTCTGGCACCTTCTTCAGGAACTACAACAGCGTTGACAATACATTATGTAAGCAGTACAACTGTGCACCTGCAGTGGTACAAACAAAAAGAGCTGAATGAATAGATGAACAGTTGGACAAAACAGCAGTAGTTCTTCTCTTTTTCGCTTAGCAAAACATGAAATTCTGGTTTCAAACAATTTGCTAAAATTTTCATTTTAGCAATCTGACAGGAAATTGAAATACAAGTTAGCCACTTTAAGTGAGTTTTTTAAGCTACTGGCAAAAAGGTTATGTGCCATTTCTTTATATGAACTATATCTGGTCTGATCAGGTATATGCGGAAATGGTCTGCCTCCCCTTTGGTGCCCCCCCCCCCCCCCAAAAGGTAAGTCTACCTACAATATAAGCTACTGTAACCTAGATTACCATCTAACCTAGAATACCAGCTAGGTTATCTTTAGCCCAGAGATCAATACTCTGGTTTTCCTGTTCCTGCAGTTGCCCCTTCAGCTGATATATTTCTGTTAGAGGCTATTTACAGAGATGCTATATATATTGGGAACTTATATATAAATATTGAAGGCAGCACAGCCACGTATTTGTAAAAAAAATCGATCAATCCTTTTTTTTTCTCCTTGTTTCCTTATTCCCATGACCTTGGGAAATGCCTTCTGTCTGGGTCTCTCTTCCAGCACTGCCGTGTAGATAAGCAGAAAGCTGGGTACTGGTCTGCAGTATACTGTGCAGAAACCTAAGACCATGGGATTGCATTGTACAATACAATACTGCCTCAATGACACTATTATACCAAACATAAACCACATGGTGGTCGTGTTTCGCAAGCTTTTTTTTTTTTAAATATTACCTGTAAAAACATGGGCATAAGTGTTTCTAATTGATGTATCATTTTACGACTTGACATGCAAAACCAAAAGCTGCTACAGCTAGAACAGTGAAATCAGATTTGATCAGATTTGTATTCTAGAAGCAAGTGGAATTGATTAGAGACTGTAACATAATCAACAACTTGGCTGAAAATATATTTTGCTCAATCCACCCCAAAAAAACTCGAGCTTAGCAGCTACTTACACAATTCATCAAAACCACCCAGCCCATTTTTTTTATCTTATCACTAAAACAATATCTATCAAAACTGCCTGCATATATCAGTGTCATATCATTTAGTCAGGTGAGCAAATGTCAGCTAATGGACATTACTCTATCTAAACGTTCCTTGGCCTATAGAATACATCTATAAACTACACACCAGTGATAATATTGTTTTTGAAATTTGTAATTTTCCAGGAATTTCCCAGGTTTAAAATGGTGCATATATGTAGAATTTCTAGACAATCAAAATGAGAAAATCATGAGAAATGGAGTTTGGAGGAAAAAAATCCACGATCACCCTTTTTGAATTCAATAGCTGCCCCAGTGAGTGTGAACATGAATAAATAAATAAATCAACTGTTATCATTATATCATCAGCAAACTTATCTTTTTTGTTTATTTATTTTTTTCAAAAAAGTCTAAAAAATTACAATATCATTTACCATTAGTATGCTTTAACTTGAACATGTGGCCAACAAGCTTGGTTTTAAAGTAACCCTCACCCCCTCAAACTGAAATGTGACACCTCATGTTCTCAAAAAGAGAATCCAATTCATGTGACAGATGTGGCACATCCCCCTTCTATGTTCACATGATCTTATGATATATAATCTTTATGATGTATAATCTTTATAAAAAGAATAAATCATTAATCACCGACTGATAGTGCTTACCTTCTCCATCCTTCGCCCATCTGTGGTGGGGTTAAATATGCGTTACCATATGGCGAATGATCCACCTGTACACTGGTTAAGGTCATAATTACACAACAATGATCAATGTTACAAATTTAAAAACTAGTACAATAGTACATGAAAAATAAGGATAGGATGTCAAAAAATATGTAAAACATGCATAAAGGTATCCATCTGGTCACCTTTTATCAAAAGAAAGCAATCCACTTCAACCACAGTAAAATTTAAGGTCAGGTGAGTTCATGGTTGCTCTATTTCCATGACAGAAGGTACACATCTTACGGAACAAACTAGCAAAGTGGCACTCTTTTCCATATACTGTATATGCTTTTTTTCTCCCTTGGCTTCTAAGTTTTTAGTGAGGAGGGAGGTTGGAGCTGCCATTTTTTAGGGGTGTAGTTGGGTTGGCCTGTAGTCAGAGTGCCAATAACTTGGCCACACCAGATCATTACTGCACTGAATATTTGATTAATGGTAAAACAAAGACATTATTATTAATCCACTGATATGAAAAAATATATATATCCTTACGTGAATCATAAATGATCATACTAAAATGCTGTTGTAAATGAAAAGATTAATTTACTACTTAATGATTTTGAAATATTTCACCTTATTATCTCTTTTTTTTTAAGAAAACTCTACAAAATATCCTACAAAAGCTCAAATTTACCATATGCTGTACAATATTACTTACCAGACTTAACAGACTGCATATTTTAAAATAAGCTTTCGTTTCCCAGAGGGATTAATACAGACTTCCTTATTTCAAGAACCTTTTAGAATCCAGTGTGAACAATCTATAATACTGTTAACCAGGTAGTTCAAATGGAAGCACGTCCTAGATAATTTGGTTTTTTTTCCAGAGAGGTCATGGGCACTCTTGAAGGCATAGTGTTTTTACCATCTCGAACCTTTAGGCAGTTGGACTATTATATGACAAAATCCATGAAGTTGCAAATAAATTTATCGTTCATCATATTAAGTGGAGTGTCTATACCTTAAATAACCACCTTAAATAGTTAATCATACATGCACTCCCAGCTGATATAAGGATTTGTGAACTCAAATGTATATCCTCTTTTTTTATTTGACATTGGCCAACGATTCTGAGTATAATTTCTTGTCAACCTCTAAAATTTTTTATCTGCTTTTATGCCAGTAAATAGATAATCACCAATATAGGGCATTGGTATTACACAAAGATATATATCTATCATATAGGACAAGTAGCCTTATCTATGTTTATCTATTAATGTGTAGCTGTTAAATTATATGTACAACTATGCCCAGATTACAAAGGCGNAAATTTTCTGCATAAAAAAGTCTCTTCATTCCAACTTTCCTTGATATATTCTTCTTTCCACAACTGATATAATTTCTTGCTAAAATTCATCAAATATCCTATGCATAATACAACACTTCGACAGCTGCTATATTGTTGTTTTTCTTTTCTTCCGTCTCTTTTTCTCTACTTAGATAAGTTTTACTCCAAGTGCTCTACCATGCACATAAAGTATGATCTACTCCGGTAGAACTGTCAGTTGTATGAGATATCAGTACTGCACAATGCAAGTCACTTTCACACATAACCTCTTCAATCTTGCTTTATTAACATTGAATCAATCTATTGCAAATGATACTAAACACGGTTCCAAACAAAAAGAAAGAAATAACTGGTATTGTATTTTTTGTATTCTTCATTCCACACCACTGCTGGGCACTGAGAGTGAATATCAGAGTAAAACAGGCCAGCAAAAAAGATTATAATTAAGAGCATCCTAATCATCACACTTAAAATACGACTTCCATATCTACCAAAACACAGGACTTGTCCTAAACTCTGATGGTCACGGTATTTACTCCTTACAACGACTGGGGACCAGTAACCATGCAGTTTGTAAGGCAATCTCACCGCAGAGATACTTCCTCTTGATAATAGTCACCACTGGGAAATTAACGGGGTTTTGTTTTTGTTTGATTTGGTAGAAATGGAGATCTGGTTAGCCCAGTTTATGTGCTGCCTGCTGGCATGGCAGAGAAAACTGGCTTACTTACTTCGCCTGTGCTGTGGAGGTGTGTTCGGACTGAGCTGCTCGGAAGGGGGTGCCATGGCACTTTGGTGGAGGGCAGAATCAGAGTTTGTCCTGAAAAAAATAAAATTAATTAAATAAATAATATAACAAACACAAAGAATGCTTTAAATGAATCCCTTCCCTTGTTTTCATTTGGTATGTAATGGTATGCAAAACAATGACTCCTTCGCTTTGTCTATGCGTAATTATCAATAACAATAAAATCCAATATAAAAATTGAGAATAATTCTGGCACCTTCTTCAGGAACTACAACAGCGTTGACAATACATTATGTAAGCAGTACAAGTGTGCACCTGCAGTGGTGCAAACAAAAAGAGCTGAATGAATAGATGAACAGTTGGACAAAACAGCAGTAGTTCTTCTCTCTTTCGCTTAGCAAAACATGAAATTCTGGTTTCAAACAATTTGCTAAAATTTTCATTTTAGCAATCTGACAGTAAATTGAAATACAAGTTAGCCACTTTAAGTGAGTTTTTTAAGCTACTGGCAAAAAGGTTATGTGCCATTTCTTTATATGAACTATATCTGGTCTGATCAGGTATATGTGGAAATGGTCTGCCTCCCCTTTGGTGCCCCCCCCCCCCCCCAAAAGGTAAGTCTACCTACAATATAAGCTACTGTAACCTAGATTACCATCTAACCTAGAATACCAGCTAGGTTATCTTTAGCCCAGAGATCAATACTCTGGTTTTCCTGTTCCCGCAGTTGCCCCTTCAGCTGATATATTTCTGTTAGAGGCTATTTACAGAGATGCTATATATATTGGGAACTTATATATAAATATTGAAGGCAGCACAGCCAACCTATTAGTAAAAAAAATCGATCAATCCTTTTTTTTTCCTGGTTTCCTTATTCCCATGACCTTGGGAAATGCCTTCTGTCTAGGTCTCTCTTCCAGCACTGCCGTGTAGATAAGCAAAAAGCTAGGTACTGGTCTGCAGTATACTGTGCAGAAACCTAAGACCATAGGATTGCATTGCACAATACAATACTGCCTCAATGACACTATTATACCAAACATAAACCACATGGTGGTCGTGTTTCGCAAGCTTTTTTTTTTTAAATATTACCTGTAAAAACATGGGCATAAGTATTTCTAATTGATGTATCATTTTACGACTTGACATGCAAAACCAAAGCTGCTACAGCTAGAACAGTGAAATCAGATTTGATCAGATTTGTATTCTAGAAGCAAGTGGAATTGATTAAAGACTGTAACATAATCAACAACTTCGCTGAAAATATATTTTGCTCAATCCACCCCAAAAAAACTTGAGCTTAGCAGCTACTTACACAATTCATCAAAACCACCCAGCCCATTTTTTTATCTTATCACTAACACAATATCTATCAAAACTGCCTGCATATATCAGTGTCATATCATTTAGTCAGGTGAGCAAATGTCAGCTAATGGACATTACTCTATCTAAACGTTCCTTGGCCTATAGAATACATCTATAAACTACAAACCAGTGATAATATTGTTTTTGAAATTTGTGATTTTCCAGGAATTTCCCAGGTTTAAAATGGTGCATATATGTAGAATTTCTAGACAATCAAAATGAGAAAATCATGAGAAATGGAGTTTGGAGGAAAAAAATCCACGATCACCCTTTTTGAATTCAATAGCTGCCCCAGTGAGTGTGAACATGAATAAATAAATAAATCAACTGTTATCATTATATCATCAGCAAACTTATCTTTTTTGTTTATTTATTTTTTTCAAAAAAGTCTAAAAAATTACAATATCATTTACCATTAGTATGCTTTAACTTGAACATGTGGCCAACAAGCTTGGTTTTAAAGTAACCCTCACCCCCTCAAACTGAAATGTGACACCTCAAGTTCCAGACAAAAAGAGAATCCAATTTATATGACAGATGCGGCACATCCCCCTTCTATGTTCACATGATCTTATGATATATAATCTTTATGATGTATAATCTTTATAAAAAGAATAAATCATTAATCACTGACTGATAATGCTTACCTTCTCCATCCTTCGCCCATCTGTGGTGGGGTTAAATATGCGTTACCATATGGCGAATGATCCACCTGTACACTGGTTAAGGTCATAATTACACAACAATGATCAATGTTACAAATTTAAAAACTAGTACAATAGTACATGAAACAAAAGGATAGGATGTCAAAAAAAATATGTACAACATGCATAAAGGTATCCATCTGGTCACCTTTTATCAAAAGAAAGCAATCGACTTCAACCTAAGTAAAATTTAAGGTCAGGTGAGTTCATGGCTGCTCTGTTTCCACGACATAGGTACACATCTTACGGAACACACTAGCAAATTGGCACTCTTGACCATATAATGAATATGCTTTATTTCTCTTTGGCTTCTAAGTTTTTAGTGAGGAGGGAGGCCGGAGCTGCCATTTTTAGGGGTGTAGTTGGGGTGTAGTTGGGTAGGCCTGTAGTCAGAGTGCCAATAACTTGGCCACACCAGATCATTACTGCACTGAATATTTGATTAATGGTAAAACAAAGACATTATTATTAATCCACTGATATGAAAAAATATATATATCCTTACGTGAATCATAAATGATCATACTAAAATGCTGTTGTAAATGAAAAGATTAATTTACTACTTAATGATTTTGAAATATTTCACCTTATTATCTCTTTTTTTTTTAAAGAAAACTCCTCTACAAAATATCCTACAAAAGCTCAAATTTACCATATGCTGTACAATATTACTTACCAGACTTAACAGACTGCATATTTTAAAATAAGCTTTCGTTTCCCAGAGGGATTAATACAGACTTCCTCATTTCAAGAACCTTTTAGAATCCAGTGTGAACAATCTATAATACTGTTAACCAGGTAGTTCAAATGGAAGCACGTCCTAGATAATTTGGTTTTTTTTCCAGAGAGGTCATGGGCACTCTTGAAGGCATAGTGTTTTTACCATCTCGAACCTTTAGGCAGTTGGACTATTATATGACAAAATCCATGAAGTTGCAAATAAATTTATCGTTCATCATATTAAGTGGAGTGTCTATACCTTAAATAACCACCTTAAATAGTTTATCATACATGCACTCCCAGCTGATATAAGGATTGGTGAAATCAAATGTATATCCTCTTTTTTTATTTGACATTGGCCAACGATTCTGTGTATAATTTCTTGTCAACCTCTAAATTTTTTTTATCTGCTTTTATGCCAATAAATAGATAATCACCAATATAGGGCATTGGTATTACACAAAGATATATATCTATCATATAGGACAAGTAGCCTTATCTATGTTTATCTATAATGTGTAGCTGTTAAATTATATGTACAACTATACCCAGATTACAAAGGCCACACACATGAGTACTTTGAAGAAAATTTGTGAATTATTCAATGATGCACAGGAGTGGTGTTTTAAGAGAAGGCATATTAATGATACAGATAAATCATCAATTCTCTTGCTGTAAAACATCACTGAACTTTCCCTGATTACCCAATGTAAGATATTTCTTTACAATTTCCCTGTGATCTTAAATCTTTCCAAGTGTGTCCAATAACCCATTAAGTTCTGTCTTTGGCATACCTGCAGGAAGTTTGAATGCAATCTACAGTCCAAACATTGCAACTACAGAAGCATGTGCTGTCACTGGGCTATGAAATTGAAATTCTAGACATGAAGGTAAGTGTGTACACTGCATTTGAACATTGCCCTACTCGAACCTATATAACCTGAATAAATTTTGTGGTCACTTAAAAAGTTTCATCAATTCGGTAAATATCAGCAATAAAATAATCTTTTTTCACAAACTTATTACAAGTTTCACGTTAGTGATTAAACTTGTAGTTAATTTGTGTCAGAAGTTTTTTTATTGCAAATCCTTTGGGTCCTTAAGTGTCCGAGTAATGTGCAGTCTACTGCATACAGAAAAGATAAACCTGTGATGACATATTCATACCATATCTTGGCATGTTCTCCTAATTGAAAAGGATATCGGCGGGAATGTGGCACATCAGGAGTATAATTTGATATCAAAATGCATGTCATATTGTTATAATGAAAGATATTTGTATTGGCTTTGGTACTCTAGGGTGTAGCACAGATGCCAAGGGCGACACATTTTATACGTGTTACTTACAGAAGATCATTTCTTTACTGACCATCTTCGAAAAATGTTTTGGTTTTACCAACAATGTGGAAGAAAGGAGCATAAGGAAAGGGTCCATGTTTCTGAACAGCCAGAAGGGACTTTACACTGAGGTGGTAACGGCTTCAGACCAATTAAAAAAATAAATGTATAAATAATACAGGATTATTTCATACAAAACATGTATTTTTCAACATTTTTCAGATGGAAAAACCATCACCTGTGGAAGAAATGCTTGGCACCTGTGCAAAATTTGTCAATTGTAATAGGGTAAATTCATAAATATTTTCAAACTTGTGAAATATTGGATGCAGATGAGTCTTTTGAAAACAGCCTCAGCACCCTTGGGTTAAATGTATTTTTTGCTTCTAGTAAAGGATACTCTAGGAAAAGTTCTCCTATGCATGGTTAATTCTCGTGATCTGCTCCTATTGTGCAGTCGGTCCACAATTGTTTGTCGTCCATGTTTCATTTCATCCAGGCTGTGGAGAGCACTCTAGAAGAAAAGATATAACAACTTCAGTGTTAATATTAGTCACATATTAAATCAAATTCAATTCCCTACAAGCACTGGTTAAACAACGTACAAGGAGACAAAGCTGAATGACAGACAAGATCATGGATGCAACTGACTTTTTTATATTGACCAATCTTCACTTTCAGCTTTCACTTCCAATACATTTTAAACTATCCTATTGAAAAGTTAAACTTATTGAAGAGAGGGGATGAAAGAGGAAGAGAGATTGAAACAGATCTTTATATCAACAAAAGAGAAAAAAACAATCTCATAATCAGATCATGAATTAGTATCTATGGCAACCTGGTTCCAAGCAAACTGCCACATACTCAGGTTAGCAAACATAGTGATATTGATAAAAATATCAACTGTTTCATTATAGTTTCTCAGAGAGCAAAGGCAAGATAACCACGCTGAATTAGCTTAATCAAGGTAACCAAGGTCTATGCCATCCAGCACAGGATGTTAGTAATGACTGCCAAGAAGCAGAGGCTATTAAAAAACAAGGAAGTGTTCGACTGACCACAAGTGAAATCAAGCTGAACAGGGACTCCCGTACTCTCATCAGTCATCCTGTATAGAGCAGGCACTGTTTCTTTAAACAATTATCTTTGTTTGAAATAATAATAATAATAATAATAATAATAATAATAATAATAATACATTGTGCTGCATCACTCAAAACAATTTGAAAACAGATACATCTAAATCTAAAAAAAAAAGTTTAATAAATGAGATCAGTGACATTCCAATATATCAATGTATCATGCTGAGTAAGAATAATGATATTATATGGCACCTGAAGTAATGACGTGGAGCAACATATCCTCTACATAAATTTATCCTTTTTTAATTTCCAAAATATTGGAAGCCTTTAAGAATCCTGCTCTGTTGCAAGGAAAATTTGTAAGATTTATGACCTGAAAACTGAGAAGTAGGTCACATTTGTAAACCAAATCAAACACACATACAGCGCAAAACAACTAACACTGAAGTGATAGGTTTACTTTTGTAACATACTTATTCATGCTTCAGTAGCAAAATACAAGACAAAATATACTGTTGATGCCTTTAATGATCAATGCAGAGAACCAGATACTTCTTTTTTTAAACATTTCCTCTGTTAATATTTGTGGTTCTACTGCAGTGTGCTGGGTCTGGTGGCATCAGCAATAAGAATACACTTAATATTTGATAGGTTTAAGAAACTTGGGAATCTGGGCATTTTATTCCAAATCTCAAAACACAATAGCTGACACAATACCACTGAAGCCATTAACCAAAAAAAAAACACCTTACATCATGGCCAAGCTACTCAAACACTCACTAACAGTACTGTCAGTGAGGATTCAGAATAATAGCGTACCATTCCCTTAAGTATACTTTATCTCCTAGGGTATATATTCATTGAGAATTTCCAGGTTGTTATTTGAATAGAATTATGGTCTATATATTATTGGAAATCATTGTTGACAAATAAGATTACAGAAAGTAAGCTTTGGCTGGTAAAAATGAATAAAACAGATTTTGATAAATCTTCTTTAAAGCATGTGAATTATAGCAGATGTTATCAAATGTTTTCCTGATAAATTTTCACATTAAATCCCTTTTCAATACACAGATTTGCCATGGCCCATACTGCACAACCTAAGTGAACTTGGATTTTACCTACATCAATTTTATCTACATCAATAAATAATAAAGGTAACAATATAACCTTCATTTCTGTGGCTTTGATAATGTTTTATGTAAAACTACTGATTACATGTAGGTTCTTATTGCTGGCAGGCTACAATTATAAACTTACAAAGCATAGTGGAAAAGACATACCCCCCCCCCCAAAAAAAAAAAAGGACAATGCACCAGTCTACGCCCGCAGAGTTATGGTAGAAGATATATGTGTTCGTGGCTCTTCCCTCACCTACCCTATTTTCCAGATACTAGTATAGCCTCATTAACATACTAACTTCCTCTTTCCCAGCATGAAAAAAACACCTTTGGGTACAGAGATTTGAGGGGGAGGAGGAAATGTGGAGGGCTGGTTACAGGACCCAGGATGTTGATGTCTACAGAGCAGGACCCAGGAAGTTGATGTCTACAGAGCAGGTATCAGTGACTGGCAAACTTGACAGAACAAGTGTGTGGAATGCATTGGAAGGGGACCATGTTGAAAATCATTCCAAAATAAAAACAAAATATTTTGTCCTTTTGGTGTCAGGCTCAAACCCTTTTGATATCCCCATGTAAGCCCCATGCTCCAAAAATATTAAGAATGTCCAATATTGGGTTGTATATTCCATGGAAATGGTCAACCGGTGTGTGAAATTCATCAGTCAGACACATTGGTTCAATGGATATTTATAGAACATTACAACCAAGAATAATCCCTTAATCTACTGGACTGGGCTATTTTTAGCTGTCTTATCTATTTGCCAATGTATTAATAATATTATTTTGTTAGTGTAACCATTCATTCCTCTGGTTTTATCTGTATTTTAAAACCACCTTTTAGAATGTGTTTTGAGCATGTGGTTATATCTGAAAAGGCATTATGATCTCTTGAAACTGTCAAGAACCCAAGTACTGAAATAGCAGGTGGTCTGATAAATACATGTTAACATGTATAGCTTAAAGGACTGCATATTATATTCTAGTTGGGTTTTACTTCCCAAGTGTGTGTCGCTTTACAAAAAAAACAATAAACAAAATCACACAAAAAATTCACACAAAACATGATCAGAGAAATCAAATGAGATCATTTGCCTTTTTATCAATGAAAAATAGAAACCATTTGACACTATCGATTAGCCTTCATGTGAACCACACTTGACATGACTGTAATGGAAGAGCAAGTTCTAACATTAACTTTGTTCTTTTTGCCATATCACATCAAACGAAAAATGCACTTGATCTCCTTTCTAGGACCTTGAATTTGCATCAACTGACTTGCCCTGGGCTATTAACTTCTTGTAATGTCTTAACACAGTTACTGTATATAAGATTCAAATAATTGTTAAAACTGGCCTCATAAAAAACAAAACTGACTCTCCTTCTCAGTGCAGCACATATTGTACATAGTTATATGCAAGTGCACAGGATATAATACCAATAAATGAGTTTGGTATAGTGCCANGTGAGAATGTGGCACATCAGGAGTGTAATTTGATATCAAAATGTATGTCATATTGTTATAATGAAAGATATTGTATTGGCTTTGGTACTCAAGGGTGTTGTACAGATGCCAAGGGCTACACATTTTATACGTGTTACTTACAAAAGATCATTTCTTTACTGACCATCTTCGAAAAATGTTTTGGTTTTACCAACAATGTGGAAGAAAGGAGCATAAGGAAAGGGTCCATGTTTCTGAAAAGCCAGAGGGTACTTTACACTGAGGTGGTAAAGGCTTCAGACCAATTAGAAAATAAATGTCTAAATAATAGATAAATACAGGAATATTTCATATAAAACATGTATTTTTCAACATTTTTCAGATGGAAAAACCATAACCTGTGGAAGAAATGCTTGGCACCTGCGCAAAATTTGTCAATTGTAATAGGGTAAATTCATAAATATTTTCAAAACTTGTGAAATATTGGATGCAGACGGGTCTTTTGAAAACAGCTTCAGTACTCTTGGGTTAAATGTACTTTTGCCTTCTAGTAAAGGATACTCTAGGAAAAGTTCTCCTATGCATGGCTAATTCTCGCGATCTGCTCCTATTGTGCAGTCGGTCCACAATTGTTTGTCGTCCATGTTTCATTTCATCCAGGCTGTGGAGAGCACTCTAGAAGAAAAGATATAACAACTTCAGTGTTAATATTAGTCACATATTAAATCAAATTCAATTCCCTACAAGCACTGGTTAAACAACGTACAAGGAGACAAAGCTGAATGACAGACAAGATCATGGATGCAACTGACTTTTTTATACTGACCACTCTTCACTTTCAGCTTTCACTTCCAATACATTTTAAACTATCCTATTGAAAAGTTAAACTTATTGAAGAGAGGGGATGAAAGAGGAAGAGAGATTGAAACAGATCTTTATATCAACAAAAGAGAAAAACAATCTCATAATCAGATCATGAATTAGTATCTATGGCAACCTGGTTCCAAGCAAACTGCCACATACTCAGGTTAGCAAACATAGTGATATTGATAAAAAATATCAACTGTTTCATAATGGTTTCTCAGAGAGCAAAGGCAAGATAACCACGCTGAATTAGCTTAATCAAGGTAACCAAGGTCTATGCCATCCAGCACAGGATGTTAGTAATGACTGCCATGAAGCAGAGGCTATTAAAAAACAAGGAAGTGTTCGACTGACCACAAGTGAAATCAAGCTGAACAGGGACTCCTGTACTCTCATCAGTCATCCTGTATAGAGCAGGCACTGTTTCTTTAAACAATTATCTTTGTTTGAAATAATAATAATAATAATAATAATAATAATAATAATAATAATAATAATAATACATTGTGCTGCATCACTCAAAACAATTGGAAAACAGATACATCTACATCTAAACAAAAAAGTTAAATAAATGAGATCAGTGAGATCAGTGACATTCCAATATATCAATGTATCATGCTGAGTAAGAATAATGATATTATATGGCACCTGAAGTAAATGACGTGGAGCAACATATCCTCTACATAAATTTATCCTTTTTTAATTTCCAAAATATTGGAAGCCTTAAAGAATCCTGCTCTGTTGCAAGGAAAATTTGTAAGATTTATGACCTGAAAACTGAGAAGTAGGTCACATTTGTAAACCAAATCAAACACACATACAGCGCAAAACAACTAACACTGAAGTGATAGGTTTACTTTTGGAACATACTTATTCATGCTTCAGTAGCAAAATACAAGACAAAATATACTGTTGATGCCTTTAATGATCAATGCAGAGAACCAGATACTTCTTTTTTTTTTGTTTTTAAACATTTCTACTGTTAATATTTGTGGTTCTACTGCAGTGTGCTGGGTCTGGTGGCATCAGCAATAAGAATACACTTAATATTTGATAGGTTTAAGAAACTTTATGCTGGGAATCTGGGCATTTTATTCCAAATCTCAAAACACAATAGCTGACACAATACCACTGAAGCCATTAACAAAAAAAAAAAAAAAAAAAAAAAAAAGCTACTCAAACACTCACTAACAGTACTGTCAGTGAGGATTCAGAATAATAGCGTACCATTCCCTTAAGTATACTTTATCTCTTAGGGTATATATTCCTTGAGAATTTCCAGGTTGTTATTTGAATAGAATTATGGTCTATATATTATTGGAAATCATTGTTGACAAATAAGATTACTGAAAGTTAGCTTTGGCTGTTGAAAATGAATAAAACAGATTTTGATAAATCTTATTTCAAGCATGTGAATTATAGCAGATGTTATCCAACGTTTTCCTGATAAATTTTCACATTAAATCCCTTTTCAATACACAGATTTGCCATGGCCCATACTGCACAACCTAACTGAACTTGGATTTTACCTACATCAATTTTATCTACATCAATAAATAATAAAGGTAACAATATAACCTTCATTTCTGTGGCTTTGATAATGTTTTATGTATAGCTACTGATTACATGTAGGTTCTTATTGCTGGCAGGCTTCAATTATAAACTTACAAAGCATAGTGGAAAAGACATACCCCCCCCCCCCCAAAAAAAAAAGGACAATGCACCAGTCCATGCCAGCATAGTTATGGTAGAAGATATGTGTGGGCGTGGCTCTTCCCTCACCTACCCTATTTTCCAGATACTAGTATAGCCTCATTAACATTCTAACTACCTCTTTCCCAGGCTGAAAAAAAAACACCTTTGGGTACAGAAATTTGAGGAGGAGGAATTGTGGAGGGCTGGTTACAGGACCCAGGAAATTGATGTCTACAGAGCAGGTTGACAGAACAAGTGTGTGGAATTGGAAGGGGACAATGTTTCTTATATCCCTATACAAGTCTCGTGTTACAAAAATATTAAGAATGTCCAATATTGGGTTGTATATTCCATGAAAATGGTCAACCGGTGTGTGAAATGAATCAGTCAGACACATTGGTTCAATGGATATTTATAGAACATTACAACCAAGAATAATCCCTTAATCTACTGGACTGGGCTATTTTTAGCTGTCTTATCTATTTGCCAATGTATTATTAATATTATTTTGTTAGTATAACCATTCATTCCACTGGTTTTATCTGTATTTTAAAACCACCTTTTAGAATGTGTTTTAAGCATGTGGTTATATCTGAAAAGGCATAATGATCTCTTGAAACTGTCAAGAACCCAAGTACTGAAATAGCAGGTGGTCTGATAAATACATGTAAACATGTATAGCTTAAAGGACTGCATATTATATTCTAGTTGGGTTTTACTTCCCAAATGTGTGTCGCTTTACAGAAAACAATAAACAACTTCACACAAAAAATTCACACAAAACATGATCAGAGAAATCAAATGAGATCATTTGCCTTTTTATCAATGAAAAATAGAAACCATTTGACACTATCGATTAGCCTTCATGTGAACCACACTTGACATGACTGTAATGGAAGAGCAAGTTCTAACATTAACTTTGTTCTTTTTGCCATATCACATCAAACGAAAAATGCACTTGATCTCCTTTCTAGGACCTTGAATTTGCATCAACTGACTTGCCCTGGGCTATTAACTTCTTGTAATGTCTTAACACAGTTACTGTATATAAGATTCAAATAATTGTTAAAACTGGCCTCATAAAAAACAAAACTGACTCTCCTTCTCAGTGCAGCACATATTGTACATAGTTATATGCAAGTGCACAGGATATAATACCAATAAATGAGTTTGGTATAGTGCCAGCTAAATCCATTACAATCTTCAAATTCTGACATCAGGGACCTTGACAAAAGAACAAAAAATAAATAAATAAATAAATGAAACAACAGGATATATGTAAAATTTTTACATAAACTCAGCACCAGACTTTATCTCTCCAGGTTCAGTTTCAGTCTTCCTGATGATATAGTTTACATGACGCAGCACATTTCCACTGACAACAAGCATGGTAGCTGATCTTGAAAATGGAACGCTTAATTCATGTTAGAATTTGACAACTGCCAACAAGAAGGTCTCCAAAGGGAAGAGCAATCACATCAAACACTGACTTGATACATATTAAGATTTTCCCATGTGCGCAGGCCAACCACTAGTAAGTACATCAGTATACACTGCTTGAGAGCCTAATCATTAACCTGACTCAAATGTACACAGCAGCCGTAGAAGAAATGCTAAGAGCTCCATGCTGTGCTGACGTCCCTGCCTCCGACATTGTGGCAAACTACAAACCTTTTACAACCACAACCTGTTGTCATAGACACAATATAGAGAGTTGGAAAGAAACATTCGTGATTTATTTCGTGTGCTTGGCACCTCAAGCTGCTCTGGTGACTACGTTTAGGTAACACTACATACTTTCTGTCCTTTCAGTGACAGCAAAAACCTATTTCACCTTAGAATTAATATTCTATTTGAGTGCAGCTGTACTATATCACTGATAAAAAAAGGTACAACAGCACTACACAGGTAAAACAATCTATTCATCAATGCTCTGTACTTAGTCTGAACATTCATATTACAAACTTCTTGAACCTTATTGCAATAATAACTAATCACCAGTACTTAACAAAACCTGAATTGCCCAAACATTCTGTAATACCTTTTTTAAAAAACTGTACACGCGGCTCATTAATAATTTTTTACCGAAGACTGATAGTCAAAATTCTCCTTGAATAGTATTAATATTGCAACACACGATATTATGTAAAAACTTATGTCATCGCTATACATCATCCTGCCGTCTGAATGGCTGCAATGTTTCAGTCAATAACTGTTTAATGAAGCATTAAATTACAGTTCATCTGGTCATTTATAACAGCAATATCTGTATTATATGACAAGTTTTATGAATGGCAAGTCTGTAAATCAAATAATCATCTGTAGCTTCCATAATGACCCTGAGAAACATGAAAAATATCTTTCATGTTGGTTTTCCATTAAAAACCCCAGTTTTGAAAGGCTCTGCTGTCACCGTCTACTCCAGAAAAGAAAAATATTTGCAGGAAAATCCCAAGCAATTATACCAACTGCATCAAAAACAGCGTCTCACTTGCTCCCTATCCTCATCTTCAGATTTCTGACATTTCACACTTCATACAGTTTAAGGATTTTTTTTAGGTTAATTCACTAGTGTAAGGCTGTATTCCCAGAACTTTTAGATCGATCTATCCCCGCGGGGAGTCTCACTAGATTACTGTCAGATAATCCGGCTAAAATGTCCGTCCCGCCTACTACAAGCTGTAAGGGGGTAATTAACTTCCGTGTCCACTCTGCTGACAGCTATTTAGGGTGAACCCCCAGGGAGTTAGGTCGATCTAAAGTAGATCGATCTAATCTCTGGAAATGGGGTCTAACAGACTAGAACAATGCAACACTGAATAAATGAGCCCTCCACCACTAGCCTCTCTTTTAGGTTGTCCAGTTGGCATGTTCATGTTCACTCCGTTTTTTTTTTAATGACAAAGTAAACTATAAGGAGGTGTACAATGAGCTGACATGTAGTACTCTGAACAAGGTGCCAGATTTTGAAAGCTGACACTGCATCATGTCCATCTTTATATATGACAGACAGATGACTTCTTATGAAGCCTCTTCAGTCAATTATCCTGATATGGAGCAGTATATTACAGGAGAATATTTGCTTTTGTTTATAGATAAAATAACATGAAGAAAGATCTAATAAAATAATGGCCAACTGTGAGGTTTTACTTTTGTCAATTTCCTTGTATCATTTTGTCATGTATGGGATATTGAATCTATAAAGTAACAATATAACTTGGCTGCATGTCTAGTGACTCCTTTTCCTATTGCTTTTGCACTGTCAACATACAATTTCGAAGGCAACCTTAAAAAAACATCACTGATTAACAGGCTTAATTGCCACTTAACACATTTAATATCAGGTATGTCCCTGAGACAACCACTATAAGAGGGCATTCAGAGCAAGTTCATCTGTGGAATAACAGATTGGCCGACCCACTTAAAAGTAGCGCTGACTACTCCTCTGATGGCCTCCCCACCTCCCAATGAGCCGTTGCTGCAGGGCCCTTGCAATTAAACCTTGGAGCCAAGATTGAATCCCTTTAATAGGGCTTGTGGAGGAGAGGAGACCATCAGGGGATTAAGCTCCGCTGCTTTTGGTGGGGTCGGCCATTTTCAGTCGGCAGATCAGTTAGTCTGCGGATCATGTTCTGACTATGCTCTAAGGTTATTATCAAGGAAATGATTACAAGGAAGGACTTTTTTTCGAATTAACCATTTTTGAAATTTTATTCTCCCAAAAAGTATATGTTATGGGGCAATTCATTCACCCAAATGTACTCCAGGAAGGACCATGATCAGAGCTCTGATACTTACATTTCATGTGTCAACATAGGACTATTCATTCAAAGCACTATATCTGAGTGAACTTTTAAGATAATTATGAATATTTCAATCCATGGGGATCACATAATACAAATAAATCTACAATATAAATCTTCCAGTGTATATTAATAGAATTTTTATAAATATTCCTAAACAATATAAGAATGGCTCTTTTATCAGATGGGACAAGATTAAACAGATTAACATAACATCATTTTTTTATACAAAATAATATTCCAGAGATAAGAGATTTCTTTTTCCATGGGATAAACTAACAAACAAATTCCTTCACAAAAATTTGACAGGTGTGAAAATTCAAACCAGTAATGTGCATTATTCTTTAGATGTAATAAAACAATCTCTTTTTGTAGTGAAATATACCACCACATTCTTTCATGTCTGCAAAAGCCATTCAAACAGTGCTAAGCAGACACTTTGCCCTTAGCAAATAAAATATACCTATAACTTTGTTAATGAAGTACCTGTCATGTGTAAAGAATAATAGATACTTCCTTGTCCATTTCCTAAATGAAGCTGATTACACCAGTAATGCCATTATCTCCAACTTTTGTCAACTCATATCTCTTGATATTTTTGAAGATATGGGAACATTATCTGATACATGGTGTGATTCAAGCACTTCAGTGTCTTCAATGCAATATCTTTAAATACTACTGTTAAAAGTTAAAAAATATATAGCTTTTTTCTTTTGCAACTACCTGTTTATTTATCATCGCAAAAGGAATGCAACCATGTGCACAGTGTTTTTGAAGTACATCTGTAATTATATATGTATCTGTATCATCTGCACTTATTTATGGTCTGGTGGTAAGCAGGGCTCCTTTCAGCTTAGGACTCTGCATAGCTTATAATCAGAGGTATAAAAGCATACTTGAACCCAAATCAAGAACATTTATGAAACTTAAATAAAGTGTATGGTCTGACTTTTTAAATGTCCTTATTTAGGATATCAACCAACCTTTAAAATCACAATGTTTTATTCGAAAAAAAAAATTGGGAAAAGATAAATCTCATTTACAAACGTATGGTGCACAGTAAATAGTCAGGATCAATTGTGCAGATGACACATTCTGCAAAAAAGAAAATGCTCAAGCCCTGATGTCAGACCTATCACACTCAACAATATATTTTCTGCCATCTGACTTAATCAATGACCCATAAACACTTATGAGGCTCACCTAACCAGGGCATTTATATGTGCTTAAAAGTTTGGAGAATTATTACCATTAATTGCAAGGCACACATACTGAATTATATAGCTGGATGAAAAACCATGGGAACATATAACCTAAATGGTGGTTGCCAGTCTTTTGAATTCAAGAGATTGTCTGACACCGAACAAGTGGAAATACCTACCTGCAGATCTATGGAATTCCCACCAGCTAGCTGGTTTACATTTGGTAAAGATCCACCCCTGTACGCTCCGAGATTAGGATGAGATATGTGTAAATGATGCTGTTTTTGAACTATTCCAACCCCCTGAAGTAAAATGACAAGAAACAGGTAACATGTAACTGTCATCCTTTAAATACGTTTTTTACATAAAAATAAAATGATAAATGATGCTGCAGAGCAGATATAGATAGTATTAGGCGTTGTAATATTTGTTATCAGCATATCACTGTGACTCTAACGCTTACCCTAGTTGCTCCAGTAACTTCTCTCATAATAGCTTCAAAGGCAGCCGTCTCCTCGGCTTGCTTTTGGTTGTGTAAAGCAATCTTTTCGCTAAATTTACGAGGATTCGCCATGATGGCTGAAAACGACAAGCTTGTTGTGATTCTGAAATGATGCAGGGGGTCCAGCATATTGACCAATCAGAGGCATCCATTTTGTCCCACGTGATTTCTCCCACTTCCCACATGGTGGCGGCAACTACTTCCGCGTGAATGTATCAAAACATTAACATGTGCTGATCTAGAATTGGGATGTGTACTAGAGTGGGCGTGGCGCGAATTAAGTGACTGACTGTGGTTACTCAGGTGTTATTTTTTGTTTTCATAAAGTCGTGATATCCGGTATGTTAAGGCAGCATTTATCCAATTTGAAAGCCAATTCAATTTCTATATGTATACCATTTACCAAAAAATAAAAATGAATTTTGTTTTAGGATATGTGAACTTGTGAAATCTTGTGATATGGCTTCTAGACACCATCAAAATTAAACTTCATGATAACATCAGCACTTTCATTTGCATTATCAGAATATAAATGTCTGGAAAAAAATTTTTTTTTGTCCTTAACCTTTTTTGAGCTTAAAATTTAAAAGTTTTACCACTGAAAATTCCAGTAATATTTTGTAAGAAGTTTATTTGAAAAAACATGGCCTGAATTTTAATCTTAGGTATTTCAATGTAAACAGAAATGGGCGTGGAAAGGTTCAAGTTTAACAATAGAGGAATGCCTGAAAATATCAAACAAGGTACTTTTTAGAACTTTTGACAAAACATTCCTGTGCCACTTTTTTGTGACCCACAATTTTGATCACACAATTTTTAACAAATTTCCAAGTATATTTTGTAAAAATAATCTAATTATGTTAGCATTCAAATTTGACTGGCATTTTTACCACACAAAGCATTCAAGTAAATATGAGGTAAAATAAAAATATCATTTGGCACTTTCAGGCAGGTCACCAGAAGAGATATACATTGACATTTACACAATCTGTATTTAAAAACACCCATGTTATTTAAAAACATTTCAGCGTTTTGGTTTTGCCTGATCCCTCACCCTTATATACCACATGACAAAGTTATATTTGGTTCAAGAATCGTCTATTATATATCATTTTTTGCAAATTTATATCAATTTGAAAGAAAAACTGTCCACAAATAACCCTCGATTTATCAGGGCCTTGCTGCATCAGTCAATGAACCTATTCATTATAGACATTGTGGACAGGTAATGCAAGTATAGGTAAATCATTCTGACATCTGTGAAATCATTTCTGTTGATAAAAGCCATTTATCTCAAATGTTGAAAGGCACTCCCGCCTGTTATTTTTTCATGATATATACAACCAAACTAAGCAAAGTTACAGTACAAGCTTTTATTCTGGCTGATACAGAATGACATCTATATACAGTGTATTTATTAAAATAGATGTATGCACACTAAATAGAGATCATGCCCTTTAAGCAGGACCCAGCTAGTGGTTCAATATAGAAACAAGACTTAGAGGATCATACTAGAATAAAGTCCCCAGACAGTCAGAAAATCAATAAGTACTTCCTACAATCTGCACTATATTCTACAGCTACATTGTACTGATGTGATTGAAGACTTACTGCTGCAATGAAATTCAATTAAAACCTGACAATCTGCCAAAATGTGTTGCCTTTATCCCATACTTTTAGACGGTATCAATAATTTATTCTAAAAGTCTGCAGATTCTTCGTCAATTTCCGCACTTTGGTCCCTTTTCCACTTCCAAATATTATCAGCTCTAGAAAAGTATACAATTTCCAAAATTTTTACTATCAGATCATATATCCTGCAAAATGGTATTAATGATACAGATTAGAGAGCATCCTTTGGTTTAGACATGCAAAGGCAGTTACATCCTTTCGTGCACATGTCTTGAATGCCACGCTCAAAAGAACAATCCTTCCATTTCAATGCTTCTACTTCTCTTTACCATCAGTCAAAACTGATCCAGGTCAATCACAAGTTAATTACATGCCTTACTAGGAGTGGAGCATATTCATCTTGTCTTAGGTTTTACACATGTAGTATGTGGCTTATTCAAATCAATTCTCTCAACGGTCACATTCACTCAGACAACAACACAATAGTATTTAGATGGTAAGCGAGGAAAAAAAAGAAAAAAACAATGTTTAATGGCTGTTTGGAGCAAAACTGGAGTAAAACCGTGTGAATGTATTTGTCAAATGTTTCATTTGTGCAACAGCTCTTTTCAATCATGTTACTTTAAGACAAGAATTCTCAGAAAAAAAGATGCTCCAAGTTGTCAACAATTAACTGATATCCAAAACATAATTAACCAGGAATGTTATACATGAATAGAGCTATGTGCTTCTTAAAGCACCAGCTTACTGTAGCACAACACATCTCCCACATAGGTTTTTAAGAACTATTTTAAAGATTTCACTGATTTTCTGAATATTACATAATTAAGCTTATAAAGCATTCTTACAGTATGAGATAGACAACAAAAACTATTATATTAATCTTTCACTTAATGACAATGACAGTGAATCTCAATTATTCTATATGTTGAAAAACAGGTTTGAGTTATTGGAAAGCACAGAATCTAAAATTAAATGTTTTCTGTTAGATGGAAAACAAACTAAGGATAAGTACAGAATTCAGCTACATGCATTTATAGGAAAACTTTACAGAACATTTGGAAATGTCTATCAATAAGCAATTAATGCCACAACAGATCTTTTCAAGTAAAAATAAATAAATAAACAGATGCTTGCATTTAAGCAATACAACTGATTTGTGTAGAGCTGTAGATATATATCGCAGAATATTAGAAAAACTTGGCATCTGGTCCCAAATTGGATATCTTAATCAACTTTGTAACCTATTCCCAGGTAGAGAATGCAACAGCTGATCAGTGAAACACCATGAATGAAGAAGAATCACTGCAGCAAGTCCAGTGTTATATACGCTGAACAAAAAATAAAAAATGAAAAACTTTTTACATGTCATGATCCCATAAACCAGACAAAGTTCCTTTCCTTACTTTTATCACCCACTGAATATTATCACAATATACCAACTCCAAAGTGATCACATAAAAATTTGCGTAATCTGAACAACAAACCAAATGAGCACTACAATGAACTACAAAAATTTCCCCTATTATCTTCTCTGATGTGATATTCAAAAATAAAAAAGAAAAATATATAAATATCATAATTTAATTAACTAAACATGCAGATCAGCATGCAATCTATCCCTATATAAAAGTTATTATCCCGCCATATATTATTGCTACAAATACATGTACTCATATATACCATACATAGTTTGCCCTCTGATCCCAATTCTGCTCAATATCCTAAATACCTATAAAAGCAATCACGAGATTCAGTACATTATAGTACAAAGAATACATACAAATACATTTGCAATTCATCTAAAATATAACGGATATACAACTACTGTAATGGTATATCTGTTTTAATATCATAAGAATGTTTTACATCTATGTGGAATGGTACAAGCCTGTTTTTATGGAAATAAGATATATGGTATTTCTTTACAAATAACAAAGCGTCCATCATGCCTAGACAAGCATCTTAGAATCTTGACTGCATTCCTTATATTCAGATCTGACAGTTATTTGTATGATCCATTGAGATGTCTTTCTTTCATTTCAGATTTATTTCCCGTAAAATTTCTTGTTGAGCAGAAAAATGAGGAGATTTACATTGATCTTTGCCCTATCAAACATTTTCATGACTGCTACCCCCTCGTACTGCAGCTGCAGAAGATCCTGAAGAAAAACAAGACAGGCTGGGTTAACATGACAACCTTCACATTTAACATTTCATAGATGAAGTTTTTTCTTTTGTTGCTTGGTAAATAAAAAAAAAAGAAGAAAAAAAAAGAAAAAACACCAGATTGCATGTTCAAAAAAATACTACACTTCTTGACAACTGTTAATAATGTTAAAGCTTCTTTGAATTTTGAAAAGAAAGTGCCAACTCCAATTTTATGTATAAAAAGGTTGGCAGTGTATAAAAAGGATAATACAATGATATATTCTCTAAATACAAGTACATCAATAAGACAGCTGCAAACTATTACTTTCTAAGTTTTTCACTGCTTGTGTCTAGATAAAGTTTATTTTCGCTCACTTTAGAAAAACCTAGACAGAATGTCTTTTCTAAGGCTAAGCCCGGTTTTAAAGATTATTTAAAACATTTTCATTTTTTTTCAACCAAACAGAGAGTCCTACCTGGAAGACCAACTCTACACTGTCCAGCTGGACACCCAGCAGTTTGGCATGAACATCAAATGTTCCAGGGACATCTGTTGAAGCCATTTCAAACTGGACATTTTTGAACCTGAAAAGAGTGAAAAGAGATGATATATTTTAACTTTCAATTTTTCTCACTTTTTCATTGTATCTCCAAAAAGATGATACCTTTATACTCAGTGGTTGGGTGGAAATCCTTCCAACTCAAATAGAATGTTAACCTAATATTCAAATATTGGTTGGTGATCCTTCAGACTGAATTAAGATATTCACCAAATACTCACTGGTAAGTTAGTAATCTTATTAACCTTACTATAATGTTAAACTAAATACTCACTGGTTGGTTGGCAATGCTTCTATTTCCAACAGGACTCCCTTTTCATGCAGCTTGGCAGCGCTGTACTTTATAGTCTGATGTTTCACGTCTGATTCATTTCCACCAAACAAACTGAATCTTTTAGAGGTTCTCCTAAAATAATAAAAAATAAAAAAATAATAGCAACAATTAAATAAAATATTTAAGGGAACAAAGAGAAATTTCCTAAATACTCAAAACTTAATTAGCAGGTCTGATTTAAACATTTTCAATTCAAAAACAAAACTATGCAATTCCATAAATTAAAACATTGACTGAATTTTAGCTTTTTATCAATTATTCGAAGAGAAGAATGTGCCAAATCTCAAAAAGTGTATAAAATATATCTTTAAAAAAGTTCGACTATATTGCTATCCAATCAAACTAACATTTTCTTAATGCTATCTATGAGAACTGACACTTACTTTCCCTTCTTGTTCAAATTGTCAAGACATGTTGTTACATATTTATTGTAGTAGTCAATCTGTTCTTCAAAGAAAGCTCTCTTAGTATTCAAAGCCTTAAGGGTTTCTTTAATTCGCATCATCTCTTGCTTACGCCGTTGGCGATAGATTCTCTGGTTGCGAATGTCCTGGCAGAAAAAATTTTTTTACTTTTTGATAGATTCCAAAGTGAATGTTTGGATTCTTCCAGTTGTTTTAATAATAAGATAATGATGGAAATGAAACCGACTCTTCTGCTGGATCTTTCAAGTCTGACGCCTGAAGTCCTTGTTATTAGGTCAAAACACTGTAATCACCGTTTCAAAATGTATGATCCAGTAGAAGAATCTTTTTGGTAGATCGTTTGTGAATGATAAGTGTTTCTGTTATTATATGCTTGAGGAAAGTCCTTGTATGTGGAAACTTGTATTCTGTAAAGCCATTTTTTAAAGATCTGATGCAAATATAACTGCAACAGAATTTTAAAAGAATACAACCACATGTATATATAAATTGCATGTGTGGTATTTATTTATTTATTTTTAATTGTGTGTATAAATATATATCGTTTCTTCAATTTCATTCATTTTACTCATACCTGTACTATCATATTGATGATGGCCTGATAGTGATCTTTATGGGACACAACATTAGCCAGCACTAGATTGTGAAGATTCTTTTTTATTTTTGCCTTCATAGCCTCCAAAGGAATCCTCGTGTCGTCCATTATTGACTTTTGTCGCAGCAAACCAGCATCCTTGGCAGTGGCTCTTTCGTCCACCTTATCTCTTTTCCTGATCAGAGCTGCATGCTCCTCCTCTTGCTCCTCAGTGGCTGGAGTGTTCAGAATCTTGGTCAGCGTCTCTCCAGGCTGACAGCGGATCACATCCACTATCATTCGTTTTGTTCTAGAAATAGACAAGACATTTCAAAACTAAGGTGTCACATGGTAATCTAGAAAGGATTTAAACTTAATCATCACAAACTTGTATAATTAACAAACATATTTTTACCATCGCTTCTTGACAATCTTTTTTATTCCTTTGCAAATTGGTAAAATTCTTGAATATGTTTATCTATATTCTCAAAGTTATGAACAGACTAACTCTCTGAGAGCTTACCTTATCAGTAAATTCTTAGTGTCAGTCTGGTCAGTGTCTGGCACCTCAAACTTATTGGACAGGGTCAGCAGAATGGTTTGTTTTGCTAACTGGGCTTTGTTGGCGCTGTCAGTTTCACCTTCCCCTTAAATAAATGAAACAATATGTTCAAGTACTAATCAAACATATAATGATCAGTCATATAACTTAACCCCGATTTCTTCTCAAAGTACTTTGTCACAGCTAAAACCTTTCCTTAGTGATGATCTTGAAAATGTTATGAAATTCCTGTAAAACTTGCAACTTACTTCAAATACTGATGAGATCTCTTAAACATTTCTTAATATTTATCCTTAGATTTTAGTGTTTCATTCAAAACATAATACCACCTTGTGATGATTACATGATTTAAAAATAGTAGTTATTTTACCCTATCCTACTTCATAAAAAATACATGGCCTTTCACTGCATTTAATATTCATATATAAAACAATGAATTAAAAGTACATTTTAACTTATGCCACAGGTAAGCTCTCCAATCTACATAAAGCCTTGTCTTATCAGCATTGCTGCGATTTCAAAAAGCAATGACAAAAAAGCACACAATGCAACATTACAATCCTACTCTCTAATCTCATAACTTCTGTTATGTTTGCTATCAATTTATCTTTTAATCTATAACTTCAGTGAAGATATGTAATCTTTAACTGTCAGACTTTGTTCCTATTCAAATCCATGCTGTTAACAACCTTCTACCAAAGTGCACTGTTTAAGCAGATACGGACAACAATGGAATACCAAGGAAGTGGAATGTCTTGTCTAAGGACAGTTGATATGCCTTTATCTATTTCTGTTCAAAAGTTGCAAATGAGGCCCATTTCACTAAAGAACTTAATTACATTTCATAAAAGAACTTAAGACCAAAAATTTGTGTTTATTTCGAGTCCTGACAAATCAGAAACAGTCCACTAAATTCATGATATAAAACCCCTTTCACAAAAAAAAAAAAAAAAAAAAAAAAGTTTGAAATGTCTAATGTTCTACACCAAAATATAAAATATTTAGTGCAGAAAGAAATAAAGGTAACCATCATCCCTGATCAAAGTGGAATAAAAAATTTAGTCTTCAAGTGAAGACCAACATTCAACCTCCAGTCCTTTGTGAAATAGGGTTCTGGTATAAGACCACTTCCTCGTAACACTGTGTAATCACAGATTTAATGAGAATCATCTAAGATAGCTCAAAGTCTAGCAATATTTTGTGGGATTTGGAGGAGAGTGTGGTAAGAAATAATGTCTGAGTATTGAGTATGATGTGGCAACAAGTCAAAGCTGAGTGTATTCATCCACACATTTTTTCCCTCTTAGTATTGTAAGTTATAGTCTATTGCTAAAAAAATAATTTCTCCATGTCTTGTGTGTTGCTTTTGTATTGCTTTCTTAGAAGACATTCATAGAGTTTCATCCTTTTTGCTAAAATGTTAACCACACATTCCCAATCCTTGCACAATATCTAGTCTCATATGACATCACACAGTGCTGACAGCCTCACTTAATGCTATCTCAGATGATTTACATTGGTTACACTAGTAAAGGCGGGAAGGGTTTTTCAGGAATTAAAATCAACCAGTCTTGTGCCAGTACTTCGTATTCACCACATTATTGAATCCATGCAGATATAATAAGGGGGCTTCACTCTCGCTAAGGTAGTTTTTGGTTTGATCTCAGGTTGAGGCACAATTTGCTGTATGTACTTTTTTCTTTAATGAATTTATACTGTTTATAAAAGGTTGAATAAACTACAATGTTCATTGGTAGAGGGCATTATTCAACTGGCGCTAATACATAACATTTAACATGCAACATTAAATCATCTACATAACATCACAAAAATAGTTAGTTGTTTGTCTTCAGTTCAAGTATTTCCACAGTTAATTGTGGGAAAACAAACATAACATGGTAAAGGACCCCAGAACCTACATTTACATACAAATTCTAAATAATGAAATAAATAAATAATTTATATTTTTATGGAAGTGTGGAAACATATTTTTATTTAAAAAATCTTAGCCCATATAAAACATTTTTAATAATACTTCCCAAGCAATGAAGCTGCATTTTCTAGACAAGCAAAAGCTTAACAAGCAAACATTTCTTAGGAAATGAGTATAGAAAAAGAAAGTATGGGTAACATTGGTACAGTGTATTATTCTAGGTTTGACAAAGAAAACATAAACAATGGTGAAAAATGAACGAGACAGGTGCTTCCATGCAATAAATTTTTTAAATTAAAAACAGGACATAAATGTGTAGTACCTGGTGCTTTCTTGCCTGAAATAAAACAAAATATCTTAAAAATAATTCTTACATAAAATTGAAATCCCCAAAAGCTGTAGCCATGATTATTTTGTGCATGTGTTTCTAATAAATCCTTATACCTTCTCTAATTGCCTTTCAAAGCATTACTATTTTGCTTTTCTAATCTTTTTTAACACCTGCTATTCTGGTCTCAAGAGAAAGTCCTCACATCAAGCATAAACCACATTACATAAATGAGAACCTGTCCTNGGGTGTGGGGGAGGGTTTTTTTTTTTTTTTTTTGTTGTACATGTTTTTTTTTAATTTTCGTTAAAAAAAAAAAAAAAAAAAAAAAAAAAAAAAAAAAAAAAAAAAAAAAAAAAAAAACTTAGACCACAGTACTCACTTTCAGAACATCTTTTTCAGCTGCCTCTGGAAACTTGTTATGGAGTGCATCTTTCATGACCTTGGCCATGTAGCGCATACCATAGCTAAAAATGAATGGTCAAAGTTGAATATATATATAAATATATATATATATATATAGAGAGAGAGAGAGAGAGAGAGAGAGAGAGAGAGAGAGAGATGAAGTTGACATACAATAATAGGCCACATGCCACATTCAAAATCAATATGAAATGAAACTAGAGTGCATGAAATTCTGAACAGGCTAAAATAAAACCTATGGAGATTCCCAAAAGTTCTTTTGGGAAACAGGGTCCCCCTAGATGTGTTAGTATGGCTTACGGTATTTTATCTAGATTTGCCAAGATGTGCTGCAGGAACATATCAGTTGCCACCCTCAGATCTGCCACAGACTGCTCCAGCCTGGTTCTCACTTCCTCATGTTCCAGGGCCTGCTCTGTGGTCACATCATATGGCAAGCCACTGTGAAAAGAAAAAAAAAAAAAAAGAATCAATTTCATTCAAGTACAATTTCCTTCTGAGCAACTACGAAGTACCATTATTAAATAGAAAAAAGTTTATCGCTTTTCAACTTTTAGATTAAATCCAATTTTTCATTTGTTCTTTTGCCCACCTAGTTTCCCCAGTTTCTGTCTCCATTTGGTTCACCCACGCCTTGTACACCTCGGTAGGATTGGTATTTATGGCCAGCTTACGGTCCTCTATCACCTTAGTCACCAGTGGGTTCAGCAGCTCTCGGAGAGAAGAGCAGTAACCTCTAGCATTTCTATGGAAAAAAAGAGAACATTCATGAAATCAATATTCATATCAATTATTAGAATTATGGTAAGAAATCTCAAGTTACACATATCCTCTTTGAGGATGTGTGTTACATTTCCAGGATGGAGACTGTTAACATTTTTGAAAGCATACCAAAATCTAATGCAAAATACGTGACAGACAAGGTAGAATGCTGCTCAAATATCATTCAATAACACAACCAGCTCTCCAAATGCATATAATTGTATGAAATTTAATGAAAATGCACGTCACTAATAGGGAACTCACCTGTTGAATGACACAATCATTTTGACTACCAGTGGGTTACCCGTAGCAATATCACTCATCTTGTCCACTTTGGATCTACAATACAAAAAAGACAAAAAAAATCACACTCAACCACACAAAAAGATTTCAAGTATTAGAGATTTTGAATACATATCTTGTATATCAAAACTGAATATGAGGAAGAATACACGTAGCTACACCACATAGATTACTCCTGGTAGATTGTTATTTTACATCTTACTATACTTACACTAAGCACAAATACAACAAAGACAGACTTAGTTGCAACCATGCACATTCCTCACAGAGACATCATATTCATGCTTTTTTCTAAGACTAATAATTCTTTTGATCATACTATATCTAAAAGGAATAAGTGTCCAGAAAATAATTTGCTCCTAATGTATGATAAAAAGTCATGCATAAATCAAGTCACTGTTAAATTAAAATTCCACAGATGTTAATTCGTGCAACTTAAAACTTAAAACAGAAGCAGAAATGCCTGTATTCCCTTGCAAACTAAAATGCAAAGCAGGCATTCTGAATGACTGCCTGAAAAGCCAAGTCTGATGCCTTCTTGATAATATTTTTTTTAAATCCAAGCAACCACATGGCAACATATAATTGAAGAAGACAACAAAATCTATTACTATTTCATTACAAATCAGCTAAGTTATCACCAGCACTACTTTCATTCACACAGGCTATTTTGAAATGTGTTAGTTTAATTAATATTTCCTTAATATATGGACATTCTATCTACAAACCAAAAGACAATGAACTCAGTGAGATCAGGTTCTACAAGACAAACATCCATTATGCACATTTGAACACAATCTACAAACAGAAAGTGACAAATATCACAAGTCGGATCTGAAAACACCTGCAAACTAAATCTAAGGAATGTGAAACAAACAAAACATGAAGAAAAAAAATCACTCACAAAATGCAAGAAGCTTATAAAGAGCAGCTAAAATAAACAAAATACTTACGATCCTCGTCTAAAGAGAATGCACAGAAAAACAAATGTTTAAATAATCAGATAAGAGAGTCAACAAATGTATGTGCACAAAATCATTTTTCAACAAAGCAAAATTGCACATTAAAATGTACCTCATCTAAATCCCAACTGACTAAATGGAAATGATAGACAAAATCAAGAACTGTTCAAGTGCAAACACTCCCCTCTCAATGTCTTATGTGCAATAAAGCAAACAGGCAGCCTCACAATTTTTCAACATTCAACCTGAACATCCATTTTGATTTATTTCACTGATAACATCAACTTTTAGCCAAAAGTCTTGCTTATTAATTTGAGTTCGGAAGTGTCAAAGCTTCATATAGGGAGAGTGGTCTACTGAGAAAGCATGCATCAATAGTAAAAATGCACACAAGTGTGAAATTCCAGCTGTAGACACTGCTAGGTTGACATTTGCAATTTATATTTATCAAAGCATATTCAAAAAGATGGGCATTAACTAAGCTGTATTGCATATTACCCCAAATCCACATCCGACATTTCAAATACCTTGAACCAGGTAATTATATAAGCACATGAAAACCTCAGACACACAAAATATAGCAAAATTTACAATAAATACCTTATCTCCTCTTCTAACGCAGTCTTGAACAACTTGAGCAGCAGATACTCCTCCCGCTGATTAGATGCATAGTTATACAGTGTAAGAATAACCGACTCCATGAATTTGGTGGTCCGGCTCTGTGGCATCTCAAAGATCAACTTAGCCAGGTAAGTTGGGTTGGTTTGTAACAGGTAGAACAAGTGCTGGTAGGCCTCGAGTCTTTCCCTGCTCTCTTTGCTCAGAGACTTCAGCCCTTTGCTGACTGCACCCGCAGGGTTTTCTTTGTAGTCTTTGAGTTTTCGGTCATGTGAGATTACATCCTGAAAAAGGATATTTTAATTTTTAGAAATGCGTAAGTTAAAATTTGCACTTCTCATGCATCCCATTTCTGCAAGCATCTGGAGCCAATTCCTAAATGCAAACATAAAGCGTATTATATTCAACATCACATAAAAGAAATCTATAAATTGGCAAATCATCACAAAAGTTGCCAAATGAAACCAGAATCAAGAACCTCTAGCCCTGCCATGCGCCAAATCCACCGCTGAAGCCTAATAACAGAGTTACTGAAAAATGAAAAACATCAAAAAAAGATAAATTAATCAAATAATGATATATGCAAGTCAGAATCATTTGCCATGTTGATACACCATGCAGCTATACCTGCTGCCTCTGTGTTAGAAATGGAGCAATGAGGAGAAAAGATGCTGAAGCCATGGCTGGGACTATTGTCTGTAAATACAATCATTATCTACAACTCTAGCCTAAAGGTAAACAGTAGGAAAAAACACTGCTAAATAAATAGAATACCGGGATATGAATCAATAGAACAAAATGACCCCCATATTTTGCTCACAACAAAAATATCCAATCTTTCCCTGTGCATTTTAAAAGACAAATATCAAAATAAATTCCATCTTATTCACTTACCTGTAGTGTTATTCTATTCTTCACTAAAAGTCCAATCTTAATGTCCATCTGGTCCAAGTCCTGCTCCAGCTGTTGATTAGAGCGGATAGCTGTCACCACTTGCTGGCGCAGATTCTGGAGCTCTGAAGGTAAGGAAATAACATAAATGATACGAAGATGTTGTGGGAATTCTACCTTGCATAGATGACTATCACTACACTTTATAAAACAGATATATTCAATTTAAGCATCACAGCAATCATTTTCCCAGTCAAAAAGGGGCGAAGAGCTCTACCTGATAAACCTTTTTCTATTTCTAACTCATCAATTCATAAACAAATTGTTGATCCATGTTTTGTGTAAATTTGTTATATTACCAATCTCTTCACTGTAGTCTATATCACTCTGGTCCAGCAAGTGGACAAATTTTCTGACCACACCAACAGGAGGATTCTCAGAGTGCACTGAAATCAAATCATCAAGGTCAATTCATTTTACTGATAGACAAGCGAAAAGAAGCAAAACTAAAATCAGAATATATTTTAACATGAAGATGTTGCTGCCACTACTTTCATACTGTCTGCAAATCTTAAATTTTCTAAATGCCATGGTAGATCAGACTTTACGAAAGGCCAAAAAATCTGTCAGACATTCGGTCTGCCAAGCTTGAAAATTCTGTCAGACCGAAACAAAATCTGTCAGACCGAAGTAAAATAATAGAAATATGAACCATTATACATGTTTTCATGTGTATTTTCTAACGTTTTAAATAATTGACATTTAATCAAATATTAAATTTTTGATATATATTTATTTGGAAAAAAAGTAAAATAAGAAAGAAAAAAAAAAAAAACAAGTTTGCATAACAAGTTTTTTATTTAATGAAAAAGACATTGAGGAATGACACAAGGACTAAAAACAATACAAGTATGAAGAATGTGTAGCTAGTAATATCAAATGTATGTCCATAAAAATGTCCGTTAATCAGATAACCATTTCACACGTTTTTGGCAATAACATATGCATTTTGAAACAGCACAGTAAGGCGGTCTCTTTCATCCAATTGAAGCTTTGACAGGGACTGTCCAGCCCGAGTCTAAGTCCCTTCTTCACTTTATTTCTTTTTTTATAAAAAGAAACTCAAACTGTGAGCTTTTCTCAAGTTCATGTGCACTTTCTCCAACTCGTGGTGAACGGTACATGCAAATATGTACATATGTTCCATAATTTAAGAACCCGTGATAAAACTGTAACATTTATGTTGCTATTGATCAAAATGATAACTTTAGTACTCCTGACACTTGGCTCACACTATTTTCCTCTCCTACAGATCATAAGTCCGACAGGGCCTACCTTCTTTCCAATTTTAGTAAACTTCCGTTTCTCTTCCTCACTTCGTTTTCATTTTTGCCACGCTTTGCACCAACGAAGTGTTTAAAGTTCAACAAAGTCTATTTCTAAACAAAAGGCTTATCCATGAGTACAGTGTACGACTGATAATGAAGAAACAGTGGATCAAGTCTGTAAAAACGCAAATAAAACGAGCACATGTGTTGCGGCCATTTTTAGGGGTAGTACAAAAACGAAAACGAGACTGTACATTACATCATCCAGGAATCCCCCAACCTCAGCCAGTCACAAAATAGTATTTGTGAGTGAAACTGAGGTTAATAAATTATGTATAATTAGCTGGGAACTCCCCGAGATTTTCACCCCGTATCTCTTTTCGAATGAAGTAAAATATATCGTCCAGAAAAGAAACAACAACGCATTCCTTATATTTACACATTTCCAGTCAGTTTGAAAACTCGCCGGACATAAGGTCCGACGACACAGGATTTTTTATCGGACCAAGACAAAATTTGCCAGGCATGTCCGATGGTCCGACGCCTTTCGTAAAGTCTGGTAGATCACATATTCTTTGTGTTAAAATTGAATGTATGTTTGTAATTTGGAGAGAGAGAAAACTTACTGAGTTTATTGTAGTCCTGTCTGGCCATACTAGATCTCCAGGCTGCTTGAATTTGGACGATCTTGGGTTCCTGAATTGAAATTAAAAATAATGAGCAAATTGAACAATTCTTACTTTCAAAATATTTAAGTGATAAAAATTGTTTTCAGACATGTTAGAGTTATGCAAACTCAAAAAGAAGACTTTTAAGTTTTAGTAATTTAACCAAAAAAACTTAAAGCGTTGATAGTCTTTTACTCAATACTATTAGGATTTGTGCACAAGTATTCCTCACATTTTTCTTGTAATAGTCTTTCTGTTTTTGGTATTTCTTTCTGGCTTGGTGCATTCTCACTGCAGCTTGGATCTGAAGCAAAAAGACATTATAAATGCTCTATCTACAATGGACTTTGATTTCAAAGTTACTCATGGCTCTTTTTTTCCATATTTTATTTCTGCTAAATTTTCTTTTGTGACGAGCTGAAATTTATTATGTCAAGGCGAACATGGTATAGTATCATTTTGATAAAGACCCACCTTCACAGCAGCTGGTTCTCCTTCCTTCAGTTCAGCTAGCCTTGTCTGGTACTTCTGTTTCTGCTTGTTACCCCTGTACCAGGCCTAGAAATACAGAAATTATATTCTATTTATATCTAAACTAGATATCAAATTCATCAAAACAGACTGCTGTAATGTTCCCAAGAAGTTTGAATCAAAACATATAGATTATAAGTAGTGCCGAGCCAGCACTTGGTATGGAAAATGATTTGAGACTGGCATCTCCAACATCTACATTTGGAAGCATAAATTTTCACTGGTTTAGAAGGATTTGATATTTTTTTAGTTTTAATAAATAAAAGCACAAAGCATTGGTAAAACAACAACATGAACTCCACACTTGCATTAACAGGTGCCTTGACCTTGTATACATTGCACTTTGTTTATGAATTGACTAACAATCAAGTAAACAGATAATCTTACCTGAATCTTGGTAATGGCAGGCAGTTGTGTTTTCATGAAGTCCAACCTATCATTATACTGTTTCCGTACCAAGTACCCTCTGATCTGAGCCTGGATCTTCACAATGAATGGTTCATTGGCCGCAAATAACAGCTCTCTATTATGCCCTGCTGTAACTTCTGTTACAATGTTCTGAAATTCAATATCACAAGCATATTATCATTCCTATGAATTTAAAGTTACATTAGTTGAGATGAAAGAAAACAACTAATTTTTTTCAATACTTAAACACACATAACAACTTATCCGTTTGTCAGCATATTTCGCAAACAAAACTCAAGAGCACAAAAACCTCAAAGTAGTCTCCATTGGTGTCACTTAGAATACACATGACAATTTCTTTAAAATTCCAATCCTATATTTTTACCTGAATTTCTTCTCTGGTAAGTAAGAGGTGATCTTTGACCACCCCCTCTGGCCTCTCCCAGGCATACTGCAGAGTGTCGGTATTAAAGTAGAACTTGCTGCCATCTTTCAATCTGTTCATCATCCAACCACTGCCTGTGTCACCTGGATTAAAGTAGAAAAATAAAATTTTAAGTTTAAGCATACCATCATAAATGAAGAGTCATGTACTTGTAAACAGTCATTTAAAAGAATTAAATGTGCTAAAATTTGTTGACTGAGCAGTAAATATTCAGTACAAACTCACAACATTTTAATGTTATTTTAGACATCATACTTACCTGATCCTGCCTTGTTATTCTTAGCTTCTTGCATTTTACTGAGATATCCCTCATCACACTCTGCAGTGAGACTGTGCAGAGTCACGTCAGGGTTGTTTAATGTGTTCATCAAGTTCTTTGGATCTCCATCTTCTATGGCAATGTTAATGGCAGCTACACCAACTGACACTGGAGAAAGATAGAGAACAGGTTAGCTACCCTTAAAATATTAATCAGTACAGAATATTCATATTTCGGGCGACCATTCAAACACAATGAGTGGCTATATGTTAGTCTTAGTAAAATCTTGAGATACATCAACAATTATTTTGCTTGCTTTAGCTACAGTTGAACTTACTTTTTTGTCCTTCCTCTGCATTTCTATTAGCTTTTGAAACAGTTGTTTGGATGTCTTCATACCAAAGCTGTGCACCATCATCATCCATTTCCTACAAAGAGAAAGGCATATCAACTCCCCGAAAGAGACCATGTTATGTGACAAAAAGGAGAAAACAGACATTTAATAAATTTACATCATTAATTTTCAAGTGATTATTTTTCCATTTCCTGGTCCTAACCTTTACAAAACATTGCCTCAAGTATCAAGCAATGAACAACTTGTGTCTAGAATTACTACACACCTTTGCTTTCTGTTTCTTCTCCTTGGCCAGCAGGTTCTGGTAATGCAGCGCCTGGGGAGCCTCCACCCCCTTCAACTGAGCACTGGGCGCCAGGAGGGCCTGCAATGTGCCTTCAGCATCCCCTCGCTCAATGGCGTCATTGATCAAACCTACTGCTATAATTCCTTAAAGAAAACGATGTTGACAGAATAAGTGACTTACAACTTTAATTCAGAGTACTATGAATTTTTTCCTTTGATTATGAAGGTAATGGCTCCTCTTCTTTGATTCAGAAAGTAATGATGGAGTGCACTTGAGTTTAATCTGTTGTACTTACTCTCATGTTCTTCCTGAACCTGACTATTCACATTGTCCACACACTCTTGTATCTCAAAGTGAGTCAACAACTCATTAGGAGCCTGAAAGAAATATAATTTGAGGGAACTCAAATACAAATTGTGGCAGACCAAAACCATTATGATAGAATTAGTGCAAGAATGGATTTGTACTTATTGTCTAATACATGATGTACAGTATATGTGAAGAAAGCTGAAGAATTTTGAAGTCACATCTGAAAAGGTTTGGGCATTTTCAAATAAAGAAAATCTTTTACTGATAAATTAGCTACATGATGTTTTACTGATGACAACACAGATGTCTGGCACCATTATCAAAACTTTAATGTGTCAAAGCATTTAGAGTACTGGCTTCACTTTAGCTTACATCAGCCTTCTCTCTCTTTGCTTCCTTCAGGTTCTCTTGATATTTGGTCTGGTTGTTTTCATCCAGGAACTGAATATGTGCATTCTTATCCATCAAGGCAGTGAAGGTGAGAGGAGGATCTCCAGATTCCACGGCCTGGTTGATTTTGGCAATGCTAGACAGCACTATGAATTGAAAAAAAAAAAGTATTATACTGAGTAACTAATTTGTATCATTAAAAGGAGAACAAAATAGTCACTACCCGTTTATCAAAGTGTTAGCTTTCTAATGAATTAATTATGATATAAATATGTTTTTGTGAAATCTCCCCACCAAATTATAGTGCTTTCTGATACTTTGAAACACAGGCTCAACTTACCTCTTACTCCTCCAAAGATCTCCTCATAATCTAAATCACCCTAGCAAAGAGAAACAATTCCTTGAAAGGTTTATATGAAGCACTGAGAATCAATGCAACAAAACTCACAAAATCCTTTACTCAATGCCCAGTAATGGAAGTTGTGTTAATACATGTTATAGTGTACAAACTGCCAGTACCTCAGCCAAAGAGCAACCATCAAAATCAAGCTGTTTTGTTGACAGCCAGTATTTTTTGTTCATTATTATTACCATTAATTTAACTTTTAACTTCTTTAACCTCTTCAAACTTTATTTGTATTTATAATATATTCTGGACTATTTTAGTTCATATGACATAGAATACTTCCCAAAGTACTACCATATCTGTAATACGTGATGTTACCTGTTTCTCTTCCTTGATGTTCACAAATTCTTCAAAGTAAAGATTAGCTGCAAAGTCATGCACTGGTGGTAACATGGCTGCAGGGTTGGCTAAGGCCTTCATCAGGGCCTGGGGATCTTCTCCAGACAGAGCACTGTTGATGCCTTGGACTGCTACCATTTCTGAAGAGGAAAGGGAGATAATTCTACTAAGTTGGTTTGGGAAGAATTTTGGTTGGTATCAAGTTTATCTGCCAAAAACTGAAATTTATTCTATGTGCATGTAATACTCAAATTATAAAGTTTGGTACCAGCTTGATTTGTGTGCTGAAAAAAAAAAAAAAAGTACACGGGCAATTTTAAAACTTATCTGAAAGGAAACAAAAATAAAAAATGATTACATATAATAGATATATTAAAAATCAAAGACCTTTATATGGTGATTCTTACTTTGATACTCTGAGTCTGCTTCTTTGTTGGCTTCATAGATGGCATTCTGAACCTCATCCTTGTCTAAGATCACTTCTTCTCCATTGTTATTGTTCTAAAATTAAAGCAAACACCTTATGTTAGCAAAAATAATACAAAAGATAATGTCAAGGACATGATTATTTGTTTCAACAATGTTTTTATCTCAACAGATTCATTGCTGCTAGTTCTTGTAGACATAAGTTGACTTGTGTTCAATGATTTCGTGAATTCAAAAATTTCCTCACTTTTAAAGAATTGACTAGCAATGTTAACAAAAATCATATGCAATTGTTCAAAACAAGACAAACAACTTTTTCTGTAAAAATAAAATGAAAAAACTCACCATTTTTGTTTCTCTGTCATTGATAAGTCTGGCCATATAAAACTCCTTTTTGTCTGGACTGACATCTCTCAGATTGAGTAGAGGTGATTGAAGCAGTTTCATCAAGGCATCCATGTCTTGTTTGTTCAGGGCATCATTTAGCCTGTCCAATGTCCTGATGGCTGGAAATTTAGGATGCAAATATGACATTAAGTATAACTTTTTACCTACTTTGATAAAATAGCTGTTTTGTTTTTAAAAGCAGGGATTCACATTAAAACCCCTCTTGCTTAAGCTCCATGGCAATACTAATGTACGCCAGCCTAAAATCCAGCCTAAAAATCACACACTTAATGGTTTTAATGGATTTTAAATGAATTCCATCTTTTAATACTATACACACCAAGTGCTTGTCAAAGATATGAAAACATGTTTTAGAATAGCACACAATCAACTGTCACCATATAATTATAAAACTCCTGACCATGTGAAAACTGCCCTCAACCATAACCATAAACTCATAAAGGCAACAGTAGTACAACTATAAACTGAATACCTGTTGTTGATGTGTGTCCTTTTTTCTTGAAAGCTTTGTACATATAATATAACATTATCCATGGAACATAATAATAAACATATTTTTTGTATGTGCACACACTTTTTCTCTTCTTTTTTTTTTTTTTTTTTTTGCCATTTCCACAAACTATAATTTAATACAAAACCAAGAACTAAATTTCCTGGATACTGACAAAATACTTGGAATAACTTGACACTTGTAGATAACAGAAATGTAACTGATTATTTCCATATTTTCCTTCTGTCTACAATTACTGTTATCAGCACTCTAACAGTAGACAAAGACAAATTCATGTGTCTGTGGGATGACTTACTGTTCACTTTGTTTAAATTCCCTTGGATCTCTGCTTGAGTCAATAACTCATCATACACATCAGCTTCATAATCAGGGTCTAGGGACTGAAAGCAGATTTCACAATCAGGTAAAATCTTTTCCAGAAATGGTTAAATGATAAACCATTAATTCCAGGGGCATAAAAGGAGTTACAAAAAATTACTTTTTCATATGAAAGTGAGAGCACTTCAAACTGAATTAAACTAATGATATAAATATATGTAAAGCAAAACAGAAGTTCACTAATATAAACCAGTATGCATGTTCCATGGAACGTTTAATTTAAACATGTGATATGCAAGTTGATGAGTAATTAATGGAACATTTCCTTCACAACAATTTTTGGAACACTTCCTTTTCAACAATTTTTGGAACATTTCCTTCTAAACAATTTTATCCCCTACCTCATTTATAACATTTCAGCTTTAATATGTAGTCATCTAATTAATACCTAAAGGAATGATATACCTAAAACAAATAAACACTCCACTGAGAGACAATAGGATACTGTACCCTGTTTCTAGCATTTTCAGCTTTGGTATGTTTGGCAGCATGCAGTATCTCCTGGTAGTCCTCAATGTGTTGAGGTATGACAGCAGTCAGGTGAGCCGCGGGGTTCTGCAGGGCAGAGAGGGTCCCCTTCACCACCTGGTGGTCTATGGCCTCATTGATGGCAATTACAGCAGCATGCACTGGAAACATAGTAAACAGTAATGTTAACAATAATGGCAAAAGTCAAAAATCTCTACATACTTTTTCAATTTCAGGAGCTCATTTGTCAAAATGTTTGTAGTATTTTCTTAATTGATTCTTAATTGTTGCCAGAGCTTACTTGTGTTCTGCACACAAAATGTTTATTTTAATAAAACACTAACAATTCTGGTCCATCTTTGACAACATCACACATACTGAAGTTTATGAATTAAATAAATTTGAGAAGATTTCAAAAAGTTGTCAACAATCACTGAGAAACTATAATCTATAATCTCTACTACTCACATGCGGCTTCATCTACTGGCATCTAATGAAAGAAGAAAAAGAAAACTTGAGAAGAACATGCACACACATTAATTAATTAATCAATCAATGGAAATCAGACACTGATACAACATTTACGACAAAAATTATTTAAGAAAATAATGCAAGGATGGTGTTCATTAGGCACTTGTTAGTTACCTAATTCTAGTCAAATTTTTACTGCCTTTAGTGCTTAATTCAGACCAGCAAACACCAAGAAAACCTATTCTTTCTTATTAACTTTTACATGCCAAACTTTGCAATAAGTGCTAATGCTTTATACTGCACTTGGCATTTATAGTAAGGTAAACTGCAGTAAGAACAGTGTGTGTGCTGACCGCCCTCTTTTCTTACCCCCCCCTTTTACCCTTTTCCTTTTCCCCCCAAATTAGTAACTTTTTTATTTATTTGTTTGATACTTTCTACAAAATCCTAAGCTACAAGGAAATTGCCACCATAATCTACCAGGAAATGCCATCTCATAATCAAACATCCTCATTGCGCTATATTTTTTCAATTATACTTTAGCCCTGCAAAACCAGCATTCAGACAATGACTCATTCAAATCCTTTTCACAAATAACATTAATTGTGATATAAGGAATCCAGGTATCAAGTTAAGGTAGTAATATGATCAATAATTTAACACTGCATGTAGAATTTTAAGTACAGTATCTTCTATAAATTATTCTCACTCCTGAACTAGCCACTAGTAATCCCATCAGAACACAGTGAAAAAGTGGGCAAATTATATCGAAATGGAAAGAAAAATTTACTAGAAACGTGTGATCATAGGAGTTTTGAAATTGCAGCACCAATTTATGGTCAAATTTTATCAGCGAGTCAAATGCCTTTCTTCATAACAACTATGATAGTTTAAAGAGAAATTTAAAAACCTCTGAAGAATAATTTGGGAGATAAATATCTCTTCTAGGTTTTATACCTATTTAAAATCAATTTTCTTCATGGTTATAGGTAACAGGTTTATAAGTCATAATATTTGTAAACTGCACTGAGATATCTGTGAGGTCTGTTTTGAGAAATTGTTTTATAATTAATAATTATCATTATTGATAATATGACAGGACAGACACGCACACACACACATACACACACACACCTTATTTTTAGATCTCTTCTGTATCTGAGAAAATATGCCATGAAATCTAAAAAGACCCCCATCTCACACTTAGAAACAACAGCTGGCAATTCCCTGTTACATTACCAGCAATATTTT